CCTCCTCCTCCTCCTCCTTCTTCTCCTCCTCCTTTTCAAGACAGAATTTCTCTGCATATCCCTGGCTGTTTTGGAACAAGCTCTAGCTCTGTAGACCAGGCTGGCCTGGAACCACAGAGCTCTGCCTGCCTCTGTCTCCCGAGTGTTGGGATTAAAGCCTTGCTCCACCACTGCCTGGTTTAGCCTACTTTCTTATAAAACCCAGGATTACCAGCCTCAGGATGGAATGACCCACCAGGGTCTGTGCCCTCCCCCACTGATCACCAATTGTGAAAATGCCTTATAGCTGGATCTCAGGGAGGCATTTCCTCAACCGAGGCCCCTTCCTCTCTGATGACTCTAGCTTGTGTCAAGTTGACACATAAAACTAGCCAGTACAATCAACCATTTGTGAGCTTGACACACAAATCACAATTAAGCCACAACCCTCCCTTTCTTAATCATCCTCGGGATCTCACATTAAAAACATAAATAACTTTAAAAGTCCCACAGTCTTTTACAAATTCAAACACATTGAAATTTCAGTCCCTTTAAAATAGCCAATCTCTTTTAAAATCCAAAGTCTATTAAAATCCCAAGGCTCTTAACTGTGGACTCTATATTTACTTCAAGAGGGAAAAAACAGGGCACAGTTAATCAAATCAAAGCAAAACCAAATTCCAACCATCCAATGGCTGGGATCCATTCACCATCTTCTGGGAAGTGTTTGCTGAAAGTACAGAGAAGCTGTGTTCCAGAGGCTGCCAAAGTTGCACCTCTTGCTGGCAGTCAGGCTTGGTAATGTGTAAGCCATCATCCAGGTGGTACTTGTTTTGAAGGCTTGAGGGGTCATGGAAAGTAGCTGAGGCTTGGCACTGTGAGATCCAGCAGTGGCCATTGGTGAAGGTACAGCCTCAGTAGCAGCTGAAGGCCAGGACTGAAGGGGTCAAGCGGAGAATTTGAGGCTTGGCATGATGAGGAGAGCCTAGGAGAGGTTATTGGTGAAAGTGCAGCCCAGTTGCAGCAGAAGACGCTAGCATTTTAGAGATGCCAGTTCCATGGGATGACTCCCAAGAACAGCAGCAGTGGTAGAGAGGAGCCAGCCCGAGCTTAGAGGACAAGCTGTGTACGTAGAATGGAACTGGAGAGTGACACAAGCCTGCTTCCTGCACTTCTCAATCACCACTCATTTCTTAGCTCCAGCTGACCAGCATCAAGTATCCCAGCAAAGCAATTTTGCTTTAGTAGTTCTGGTATCTCATTAATCAGAGCTGGTTATTCAACCCCAGCTAACCAGAACCACAGGATCTTAACTCAAAATAACAAATGGTCCTGATAATCTATCTATCTATCTATCTATCTATCTTTCTTTCTTTCTTCCTTTCTTTCTTTCTTTCTTTCTTTCTTTCTTTCTCTCTTTCTTTCTTTCTTCTCTTTCTTTCTTTTTCTTTCTTTCTTTTTCTTTCTTTCTTTTTCTTTCTTTCTTTTTCTTTCTTTCTTTTTCTTTCTTTCTTTTTCTTTCTTTCTTTTTTCTTCTCTCTTTCTTTCTTTCTTCTGGTTTTTCAAGACAGGGTTTCTCTGTGTAACAGTCCTGGCTGTCCTGGAACTCACCTTGTAGCTCAGGCTGGCCTTGAACAACTCACTGAGATCAGCCTGCCACTGCCTCCCGAGTGCTGGGATTAAAGTATGTGCCACCACTACCCTGCTGATGATCTTTAAACTTCCCTCTTAAACTTCACAAGCTAGGGCTCCATCCTCTGCACTGCTTTCAACGTTCTTATCTTCCAAGCTCCCACACACACAACCCCACAGAGCTCTTGACACTCAATGGCTTTTCTAATCCAAAGTCTCTAAGTCCTTCCACAACCCTCCCAAAAATATGGTCAGGTTTGTCATATCAATAGCATGTTTATGCTGGTACCAACTTGTTTTAGGGTTTCTGCTGCTGTGACAAAACACCATGACCAAAAAGCAAGTCAGGGAGGAAAGGGTTTATTCAGCTTACACTTCCACATTTCTGTTTATCACCAAAGCAAGTCAGGACAGGAACTTAAATAGGGCAGGATCCTGGTGGCAGGAACTGCTGCAGAAACCATGGAGGATGCTGCTTCCTGGATTGTTTCCCATGGCTTGCTCAGCCTGCCTTCTTAGAGAACCCAGGACCACCAGCCCAGGGATCGCACCACACACCATGGTCTGGGCCCTCCCCCATTAGTCACTAATAGAGAAAATGCCTTACAGCTGGATCTCACTGAGGCATTTCCTCAACTAAGGCTCCTTCTCTGATGATTCTAGCTTGTGTCAAGTACACACACACACACACACACACACACCACACACACACACACAAATAACAGAATAAGAATTTGGGGAACCAAGGCATGGTGGCATATGCTTGCCTGCAATATCAGGAATCAGGATTCTGAGGCAGGAAGATTGTTTTGAGTTCTAGGTTAGGAGGATTAGAAATTCTAGTTTACCCTCAGCTACATAGAGAGTTTGAAGATAGTATGGACCGTGAGACTCCGTCTAATAAAAATAAAGAAAAAAAGTGTGAATATTGGCAGTGGTTTCATGTTTCTGAATTGGGTGCCTGGGTTCAGAGGACTGGGCGGGGGCAGGTGTGAATCCTGGGTAATGGTATCCCACACCATGGACCTAGTGTGGTTCTGAGCCAGCCCAGCCCAGCTGGCCCCAGCCTCCCTGGAAAATCCACAGACTTTTGAACCTCAATTTCAGAATTAGAAATAAAAACTGGTTGGGTTTCCAGTTAGGTAGAGTTAGGGTCTGGCGCCGTACACGTCCTTAGTTCCACAGATAGAAGTATGGGTGTAGTGTTGGAAGCCTCATCTGTAGGCCCTGAGCCTGCTCCACATCCCTGGCCCTGGTTCTCAGGAACAAGAGCTCCTTAGGGGGAAGAGCCCCCACCCAACACTTTGTGTGCCTCAAACATCCCCTAGAGGGTAGTGCTGAACCATGAGCATGTGAGAAAGGGAAACAGGAGAGAAAGATGGGAGGAAGGAGAAATGAGTTTAGGTCAAGTTCCCCTTGGATGTCCCCATGACAGTGTCTAGTGTTCTGCAGGACCTCCTGCCTAGTGTTTATCCAAGTCTCTGGCCTCTGGGATGGACACAAGCTGGGTGCTCATTTCGTATCTCCAATGTCAGGTACAGAGCCTGACATAAAGTGACATGGACCAGAATATCACAGGGCTGGGGAGAAATGGCTTAGTGCAGGTAACAGGATCTGGGTGGGATCCTCAGTATCCACATAATAGCCAGATGTGGCTGTACATAACTGCAAGCCCAGTACTGGGGTTGAGACAAGTGAATCTCAAGAGCTTGCTGGCCAGTTAGCCTTGCTGAAATGGCAAGATTCTGGATTAATGAGAGATCCTGCTGCAAACAATAAGGTGGAGGATAATAGAGGAAGACCAGAACACCAACCCTGGCATTCAACATCTCGAGGGTTTCAGGAGAGCCTGGTCTTTGTTCCAGATTGTAAGGTGGAAGATGCTAGGTTCTGATGTCAATGAAGGAGGTGGTAGCAGCAACAGCAACAGAGTAGATGCAATTACCATTGAGACAGGAAAGCAAGCTGGCAAAGCAAAAGGTTTTACTGCTGCTGCCTACAGCTGGGGTGGCTCTTCTCACTTCAATTTCCCTAAACAAGAAAAATGTGCCTAAAGGCTTGTCAGGTGATTGCAGATCCAGTAAAGGTGACAACCATAATTGTCATACTGGGCTACACAAGACTCTGCCTCAAAAATAAATAACAAAAACTGACACAGCTGTGTATGGCTAAGTTTGTGTGACTTTAGTTCTCTTGGGCACATGCCTGGGAATGGCATGGGTTTTAACTATTAGATCTGCCTTTTCTTCTTCCAAGGTGACTGTACCATTTTCTAGTCCCACCGCCAGATGAGAGCCAGAGCCCTTCTGATCTGAGCCATTGGCTTTGTTAGTTTTCTGGATGGTTCAGCATGCCAGCAGGGACAAAATCTCACCTGGACTCCTGGAGCCTTCTGACCACCACACCTATAGGGCACCTCTCTCCCATGCCTTGCAAATATGAATCTGACCCTAGGTCAGGAGGAGAGCCTGCTCTCCATTTTGGCTGTGGAGATAGATCACAGAACGTCTCTGTGCCTGTTTCCTCTTCTGCAAATTGGAAGCAACACCCTTTACCTCCACAGATAAAAGGTGTGAAGTGAAACTCAATAGAAAAGAAAACTAAAAACAGCTGGGGTTAGTGCCGGCACCCCACTCCAAATCCATTAGGGAGACTGAGGCCATCAGCCTGCCTCAAAAATCAGTCAACCGAGAATGAATTAGCCAATAGAAAAAGAACACAACAACAGCTTCCCTCCTCCCTTGTTTTGATGTTTCTTTCTGTCTCTAGCCTTTCATTTTATCTCCTAGTTCCTACAAAAACCCAGGCGCTCCGCTTATCTCGAGTCAAGGGCAGGTAGGGCTGGCTTGTGCTGGGGAGGGACAGGCACGGTACGCGGAGACCCGATTGTGCTACTTTCGGACATTGGGCGTCCGCAGCCCCGCGTGGGGAGGACACCTCCTACCCCTAGGCTGAGTCTCCGGCACGCATCTCTTGCTCGCGCCCACAGGGCGTCAACACAAAGGTCCCGCCGCAGCAGCTGCGCCGGGCTGGTCTCCCTCCCAGCTGGCCCAGTCCCGCGTTCCGGGCCGCGCGTCCATTGGCCAGGAGCCACGGGGGGCGTGGTCACATATCCCGCCCAGCCCGGAGGCCACGCCCCCGCCCAGCTCTCTTCTTGTAGTCTGAGCCCAGCTGCTGGACGAGTCGAACGTGTCGCCAGGTAAGCGGCTGTTCCCGGGACTCAAGGGAAGGGCGTGGTGGAGCACGGGATCCCCGGGAGCTGCGGGGAAGGGGCCGAGGTTTGCTCTGCTCTCCTGTTCCCCCACTGCGGGACCTTACGGCTCTCCAGCTCAGCGCTGGGTCCCTCCCAGGATCTGCCCCAGTCGCCCAGGCCAGTTTGGGGAGCGCGGATTACTCACCCTCCCTAAGGGGACGCGGGTAGGTGTGACCGCGGTAGGAGATATCCCTGCGGGACTTCGGGTGGTACCGCTAGGCCACCTGTTTTGTGCGTGGGCGGCGCTCCCTCCCCTGTGCTTTCTGGCGGGCTGGAGGTGCTGGGGACTCACTGATAGCTGGAGGCGGAGCGGTCCCCGACGGGCCGGGCCTGGCCAGCTGCTTGCTGGGCGGCGGGACAGTAGCCAGGACGGGAGAGGGGGAGCCTCCCTGGCCCCTCGCGGTTGGCTTCTTCTGGGGTGGAAGAGCTGCTGGGCGCGCTCGCTCGATGTTTGCGCCGGGATGGGGGGCGGGGGCTAGGGAGCAGAGGAAAACTTCACCCTCGCTGGCGGCGGCCCTTACAGGCCGGAAATACGAGGCTAGGTTTTGATTTTTATTTAAAAAGCAAGGCTGTGAGCCCACAGCTTTTCTGGGGTTGCAATTTAGGTCTGTGCGGGATGAACTGTAGATCAGCTCTCTCCTGCAGGGTCTGCGTTCTGAGAGGTGGAGGTGCCTCTTTGCAAAATAGAAGACTATTTTTTTTTTTATGTATTCCGGGAGCCTCCAGAAAGGGTGTGTATGGGAATAGAAGGAGCTGGCTAGCCCAAGTGCCCGGAGAAATAGGAGCTACTTTTTATTCCTCCTGGCTATTCTGCTATCCTTTGCCCATGGCCAAGTCTTGCTGCCTTTAGTTTGTTCTCCAAGCTGAAGCCAGAGGGAGAGTGTGAAAAAGAATCGGTAGTGATGGGTTATGTTTGCAGTACCACACCAGGGAGGTGGAAAAGTAGGATTCAGGAGTTCAGGGTTATCCTTGGCTCCTCAACGAGTTCAAGGCCAGCTATAAATGCTTACACCTGTAATTCATTCCTAGCATTTGGGAGACTAAGGCAGAAAGAACTGTCCATATAGCAAGACCCTCCCTCAAAACACCAAACCAGTTAAACAAAAACAGTGTTTAAAAATAATCCACAAATCTGTTTAAAATTGTCCCATGTTCCCATTCTTTGTCCTGTCAGACTCAAACTTTTCAACAGGACCCTCTCTCTAGATGCTTTGTGACTCTGTGCACTGTCCCTAAGTGGTCCTTTAAGCCTCAGCTCAGCCATCCCCTGCTCTGGGATGGGGCTCCTCAGAATCTGGCAGCCCTCCAACATCTCCTCTTGGGTGGCAACTTGAATGCCACCATGTGCCCTTACACCCTCTGCTTGTCTGATCCCCCAGTGTGAGAACATAATCTTTGCTGTGTTGGGATCTGAGTAAGCTGTTAGGCCCAGTCTGGGGTTAGGGGGAATTTGCTTTCTTTGTCCTACTGAGTGCTAGGGCAAGAATTTGGTTTGTGCCCCATATCTGGCAGCTGTGGGACCATGCACACCATGGGGGCCACTATTATTGATTAAGCTTACCTGCTCTGCATTGTGGCTGGCACTGTCTACAGCTTTGAGCTACTGGATGCTGCTCAGTCCCTGTCCAAACCGAGGCAGGGAACTAATGGGTCTATGAGAGGATGGGAGAGTCAGGCTGGGAGTGGTGGGGGACACACAACTGGGAGGATGGAGCAGAATGTTAGGAGGAGGAATTCAGGAATAGGCTTGGTGGAGAACAGGGTCCACTTGGCCTTGGACTCTCAAGTAGAGACCTAGGGCAGTGGTGGCCTCTGTCCTGTGAATGGGTATTCCTGGGGGAGTTCTGGAGGTGACATTTGGAAGGACTGTTTTTGGTTCCTGGAGCTTCCAGCTTCCTGGCACTCGAGGACAAGGGCGGAATTCCCCAATTGTGCTGCTGGAGGGACCCGGGTAGTCTCTCTTCATCTCCGGCTGCTTGCTCTTCTCTGTTTCATGGCCCCGCCCCTGGTATCCCTCCCTTCTCACACAGAATTCACTCTTCCCAGAACAATGGAGCAGCATGTGGCTAGCCAGCACGGCTGGCAACGGGGAGTCTCAGGCTCCTTCTCTGCTCTGTGCCTTCCTGGATCCCTGTGTCTAGTTCAGCTGGTCAGTCCTTCCCTGTCCTCAGCTATGGGCTCTTTTCTGTTAGACTTCGGTCTGGTGGGGATGGGGGTGAAGATGAACCTTACAATCTCCTGGAGCCCTGGCATGTGCTGGGTGAATGCCTCTGTCCATGTGTGTCCCCTCCCCCAGAGGGCCTGCCTCCTGGGAGCTGGGTAGTTTCGTGGCAGCCGTTTCTCTGGGAGCCCCTTAGAAAGGCAGTCTCTGGGGCTGGGGGAGCAGCTTAGTGCTAGCAGAGATCTAGTTTCCCAGCACCAGAAAGGCAACCAACCGTCCATCCCCAACTAACTGACTAAGCAAAGCCATGGTAACTCCGCCCACATTTGTGGAGCTTGAGTTTGCTTTTGGACATTGGCCAGAGATTCCTGGGGGGCACTGACATGTGAGAAGCCCCAGCTGCTGAATCTATGGTCAGTTTTCCCATGGGGCAGGGAGATGGTGAAGTGAGGCTAGCAGAAAGGGGACATCAGAAAAAAGCACTGACTTCCCCCTCCACGGCAGGGTCTCTGAAGTTCTAGTGGCCTGTTCTGTCCCTTTGCCTGAGTGACCCGAGTCTTTAACCCACCTCCCTGCCAGCAGTGGCTAGTCTCCTGGTTGTAAAATGTCCCAGTGCAGAGTCCCAGCCAGTCCTTCCCTGGCTACAAACCTACACAAGATTCTAGACACCCCAGTATGCAGAACAGGCTTCACCCAAGAATGAGGCCTTCAGCTTACCCAAGCTATTGTTCCTTGACTCCCCATTTTCCTGCCTTTGAGGAGCCATAAATCACACTCCCTTTCTCTAAAGAGCTGGGCTCAGCACCTGGCTCCCTAGCTCAAGAGGATTTTCCCAGCTGGGTGTGATGGCTCACAACATGCCTATAATCCTAGTACCAGGGAGGCTGAGGTAGGAGGAGTGCCATGAATTTGAGGACAACCTGGGCTATGAAGTGTTAGACTCCGTCCCCCCCCCCCAAAAAAAAAAAAACGGAAAAGCGAGTGGAAGTACATGTTGGAAGCTGGGGACTTTTAAGGCCAAGAGCACAGAAGGTGCTGGGCCTGGCAAGTAAGTACAGGGACTAGATTTGGGGATGGGCTGTGGAGAGGCTGAGGAGGCCAGCTTGATGTCCAGTAGCGCTCCCAGAATCTTCCAGGACTTGCTATAAGGCCTATGGAAAATTCCCCATCTATTTTCAGCTAGAGGCCCCCTTTGCCACATTTCTCAGGATAAGAGGCTGTCTTGCTCTCCCTGGTGGACAGTCAGGGTGGGTGTGGCATTCTACCCCCAGGCCCTGGGCCTCTCCCTGGGCTGGGCTTGTCTGGCAGAGGGCTTTGAGTCTTATCCTGCCAGGTGTTATCCCCACCCTCACCTCCACTGAGGGTTAGAAGGCTCTGACTTTCTGTTGGTACCTGAGGGTGGTGCTGGCTGTGATGCCCACAACTGAGGATGCTGTTCAGTTGGTAGAGTGCTTGCCTAGGATTCTGGAGGCTCTGGACTGCATCCAGCCTGGCTATATGAGACTTTGTCTCAAAAAAGGGAAAACAGAGGGAGCCCAGGTGTTAGAGGCACTGTTCACCCATCCAGAGTTTGTGCACACATAGATGTGTGTACCCTGCCCCAATTCCCCACATACATACAGCCACTTGAGGATATACTCATAGGCAGATATGTGTTCATGTTCATAAACATGCCCCATATACACATACGTGTACACATTATACATTACATAGTCACACACAGATAAACACATGTGTGTACCTAGTTTGGCAGTCATGACAACATCTTGGCCATTGCATTTTGTCAGAATTTGTCTCGGGTAGAGGCTCACCGGGGCCTAGCCCGGGGCCCCTGCAGGCAAGAGCTTCAGGCCCACCTCCATCTCCAAGTAGGGCATCATGTAGAGTGGGCCATGCCTTTTCCAGGGCCACACTTGGTATTGCTAAGAGAGCAGACAGAGGTCAGAAAGGTATCCTAAGCTAGGGATAGCAGTGGGAGCCGGAAGCGAGTGGAAGTACATGTTGGAAGCTATAAGCTACAGACTGCTGCTGTAGGCTGTGTCCTGCTGTGTGCAGGGCTAGAGAAGCCTCCTGGATACACCTACCCCACCCCAGCTGGACTTTGGCCCCTTCCTGAGCCAGCTGGGTGGGCTGGCTCTGACTAGCCCAGCTTCCTTTCAGGTTCCTGAGTGTTTGGTTTAGGTAGTGGAATAGCCTTGTGGGTCTCCCAGGGCGCTCTCCCAGCTCCCACCCCACCTCAGTCTCTTCATTTCTGTGTTTCAGTTTCTTCCACTGTGTAGTTACAGTGAGTGTGGCACTCAGAACACACCAAGGGTGCCCGAGGCACCAAGGGCACACACCAAGCCCTGTGCCAGGCCTTGGGCTGGGATGTTGAGGAACCCTTGTATTGTGCTCAGTGTGATGTCCCAAGGCATTTCCCAGGAAGAAGCTGGATTTGAGGTGTGAAGGGACTTGAGTGAAGAGTGAGGAAGACCCCTTTGGGTCTTTTATCATCAGCCTGGAGAGGCGGGTGTGATAACGGTGTCTGAGCACATAGGCAGAAAGTGCAAAGCAGGGAAGACATGATGATGACAGCTATGGTGATGCAACTTGCTTCCTGATCTGGCCCTGCCCTCTGAACCATACTTCCTGCTCCTGCCCCACTCCCACGCCTCCTTGGCCTGGAACTACAGCAGGCCACCCCACTCCCTACTGTCTGTACCCAGAACAGCCTCCCTCTGTCTCTCTTTTCTTGAGATGGTCTCTGTAGCCTAGGCTAGTCCAGATCTCTCAGTCTCTCGCCTAGGCTGGTCCAGAGGATCCTTTTGCCTTAGCCTCCAAAGTGCTCATGTTATAGGCAAGCACAAGCCCCTAGCTTCTCCCACTGTTTTTCAGATGTCTGTTTTTCATATTCCTGGTCCATCTTGCACTCCCACCCCCTTACTTTTCATCCCTTTTGTTAGCAGGCCTTTTGGCAGTCTGTGGTCCCATCGCCTCCTCTGGTTCCAGGTTCTGCCCTGTGTCTCCTGTAGCAGGTGTTAGATATGTTTGTTGAGTGACTTGGTGATTGCAGTTTACAGCAATGCCTGTAGCCTGTCCTTGTTAACTGCTTGTTCTGGGCAGAGCTGTACCCTCAGTGCTTATATGTATTATTTCATTGCGATGTCATGATTTGTGTGAAGCTGGAACAACTCCCATTTCTCAGATACAAAAACTGAGGCCCTGAGAGGCTGAGTCACTAATGATCACTCAGTTGGCAGGTGGGAAGATTTGAACTCTAGTGTCTTTGACTGTGGTGGAGGAGGGGAGGAGAGAGGCAGGGAGACTGGTTAGAAGGGAGAAGGGCAGCTCTCCTCCTCATGCTGATGTCATCAGACCCCCATGGTCATCCCCCACTGCTGTCCTGGGAGGCCTGGGTGGGGCCCCCCCCTCTCCCTCTCTGGGCCAGCTTTCTTTGCAGAATTCCTGGTATTGGAACATTCTAGCACTCTATGACCTGCGCTGGAGACCTGACCAGCAGGCCAGCAGCCAGGACCTCTTCAAGGTGGGGGCTTCTCTGAACTTGTGGTCCTGCCTGGCTGGGGCCACAGCCAAGAAGAGGTCAGTAGGTAACAGTGTCACTTCTCTGGAAGGCTGGCCAGTGACATCTTTCCAGCCAGGCAGGACTGAGTCCCCAGAGAGGGGCAGGGCATATGGAAAAGTCTGAGTCTTTGGGGAAAGAGGCACCCTTGCCTTGCATACCTCCTTCCCCTGAACCCCAGGACTCCAAGGTGGAGGGTTGGAGCTGAAGCAAGAGGGCCTTTTTTTGGATACTGCCAGTGAAAACGCAGCCCTGGGGCCATGGAGTTACTATAAATGGGAAGAGTCTGACCATGAGCTGGGGCCCAAGGTACCTAGAGCTGAGGAGGCTGGAGATGTAGCTCAGCTGGTGGAGTGCTTGCCTAGAGTGCACAGAGCCCTGGGTTCAATCCACAGCACCACATAAATTGGGCATGGTAGTACACAGCTGTAATCCTAGCACTGGAGGTTGAGGCCTGTGTGGGCTATTGGAGACCCTAAAAACAAAACAAAACAAAAAAATCAAACTGTAGCTGGGCTGCTTTGAAGACAGCTCCTTTATATTTGACAGACCAATCACAGGGCCACACAAATCTGCTCAGGCCTGTCCATGTCCCATTGGCTTTTCTGTTACTATCTCCATCCCTGAGAAGATGTCAAGGGATACCCTTGAGTTTGACTCCGAGTCTAGAAAGGGGAGAGAACTTACCTAAGGATGGCAGTTCTTGACCTTGAGCCAAGGCTGGCTGGGCTTGCTCTGTCCTGGGGCTACCTGTGTACAATGGCCATGCTGCCCATCTTCTTCTTTTAATATTTAATGTATATGAGTGATCTGTCTTCATGCACATCAGAAGAGGGAATCAGATCTCATTACAGATGGTTGTGGGCCACCATGTGGTTGCTGGGAATTGAACTCGGGACCTTTGGAAGAGCCGCCAGTGCCCTTAACCACTGAGCCATTTCTTCGGCCCTCCCCCCTTTTAATGTTGGTCTTGATGTAGTCCATACTGCCTTGAACTCACAGCAGTCCCCTGGGTATGGGTCGGCCTATAAGAGCCACTGCCTTCAACTTTTGCCTGAATTCTGTGCCTCCGAGGGGGTCACTGAGAGAATTGGATCTCATGACAGAGTAGTACCTGGGCCTAGATATGCATTTTCTGGGAGTGTTCCTTTTCTGGGGACCTTTTTTTAGTGGTAACCCACCTGGCCATGAGCTCCTATCCCCAGGGTGCCACATTGGGCTGTGAACTACCCTAGGTGTGCTCTGCAGTCTCCTGAGGGAGGTTGCTTGCAGGGTAGGGGGCAGAGTTGGGAAGGGAATAGGGGGTATTGACCTGTGCTTTTGGCATTGAGGTCCTTCTAATGGCACCACCTCCTCTCACAATATTTACTGAGTGTCCTAAGCATGGTAAGGTCTGTGTTGGGGACATAGACGGGTTACCATAGGGAGTTACCTGGCATATATCCAACCCACCCAGTATGTGTGTGTGTGTGGCCAGAGAATAACATCCACTGTTACTCTTCCAGGTGTTTTTTGAGACAAAGTCTCTCACTGGAAAGTGGGGCTCCCTGATTAGGCTAGGCTAGCTGGCCAACCAGCCCTAGGGATCCACCTGCCTCTGTCTTCCCAGTGCTGGGATTACAAGTGCCCACCACAATCTTACGTTCTGATTTATTTGATGGGCCATGGTGGGGACAGGCCTTTCATCCCAGCAGTTGGAAGGCAGAGACAGGTGGTAGTTTGAGATCAGCGTGGTCTGGAGTGAGTTCCAGGACAGCCAAAGCTACACAGAGAAACCTTATCTTGACAAACAAAAACAAAAAACAAAAATTTGTTTACCTATGTATGTGTGTGGCCTCTGTGTGGGTTTGTGCACGTGACTGCAGATGCAGACTAGAAAGGGCATTAGATCCTCTGGAGCTGGAATTACAGGTGGTTGTAAACTGTCTGACATGGAACTGAACTCGGGTCCTCTTCAAGAGCAGTAAGCATGCTTAACAGCTGAGCCATCTCTCCCACCCCATACCAGGCTTTTCTATTCTACATGGATTGTGGGGATCAAGCCCAGGTTCTCCTGCTTGTGTGACAAGTATTTCACTGACTGGGCTATCAGTCTAGCACATGACCTGGCATTTTCTTAAACAGTGGAGATGGAGAGAGGCCTATAGTTGCTATGGGAGCCCAGTGCTGGCACCTGAGCAGACACCTGAGCCAAGATGTGGCTACAGACAAGGTGACCTAAAGTGAGCCTCCAGGAGTGACTGCCTGTCTAGGCCTGAGGCAGGTCCCTGAGAGCCCCCTTCTCTCTGTAGGTCAGCTATGTCATCTGAACCTCCCCCGCCGCCGCCACAGCCCCCAACGCATCAGTCTTCTGTCGGGCTATTGGACACTCCTCGGGCCCGGGATCGTTCTCCATCCCCGCTGCGAGGCAACGTGGTCCCTAGCCCTCTGCCCACCCGCAGGACAAGGACCTTCTCAGCGTAAGTCTCAGGCTGGCAACACACAGTTCCCATAATGGGGGCAGCTACCAGAGCAGGCAGGATCCATTCTCCGGGTATCTCCTGGAGAGTCCTGGAGAAGTGCTAGTGAGGAAACTCGAAGGGGCCTCCAAATTCAAGTGCTATCCTCAGCACCCATGGGAGCCTGCATCCCTCCTCCCCCCAAGTGATAAGCTGCTGGGCTTTAGCCACAGAGGCCTCTTCTCCAGGAGGCCTTGACTTCCTCAGTTGTATGGCAGGGACAATGTCTGGGTAGCAGCCACTAGCAGATGTAGATTTTAGGCTCTGTGAGTGGGTGCTAGAGCTGTTACTAACAGTTTTTGAAGCTTCCTGTTTCCAGATGGACAGACAAGCCTGAGAAAATGTACCAAGGTTATCCAGACATTTCAACAGTTAGGGTTGTACACAAAGCCTATGTGACTATACATGGTGGCCCTAGCGAGGCCTCCCTGAGGCAAAGCTGGGAGAGTAGATCCAGGGGAGTGGGTGGTGGTTGCAAAGGACTGATGGGTGTCTCCTCACATCTCCCTGTCTGTCAGGACGGTGCGGGCTTCACAGGGCCCTGTCTACAAAGGAGTCTGTAAATGCTTCTGCCGGTCCAAGGGCCACGGCTTCATCACCCCGGCTGATGGTGGCCCTGACATCTTCCTGCACATCTCTGAGTGAGTTCACTGTAGCATATCTGGAGGTCTGGGCTGGGGGTACAGGGGGTGTGGTCCTGGCCCTATGCTGTATAGGACAGTGTGATGGAAAGGTGTTGGGCAGGAGGGTGTATATGGAGTGTGTGAGGCTGCACAGCAGTTTGTGTGTGACAGTGACTGGGTGTGTCTATGAATTGTGTGCGATCTTGGGTGTATGTCTACCACAGATGCTGGGGTAGGGTGAAGACAGCTGGGCCTGGTATTTGTAAGTGGGTGAATGTCCTGTGCCTGGCCTGTGGGGAAAGTATCTCTGGGATGGGAGAATGTGTTGGCCTCCTCAGGGGAGTAGCCTAGTGAGACTGGGGGCTGTTTCTTCTGATCCAGGAAGGAAGCTCAGGGCTGGGCCCTTTCTCCTGCCACTTGCTCACTGAGGCTCTTCCTTCCTGTCTGGAAGCCCACAGGACTCCAGGGTGTAGGCCACAAAACCCCCCAGCTCACCTTCCCTGTTTGGCTTCTGAATAGCTTTTTGGTTTCCTAAGAACCCCCAACTAGAACCTCTATCCAGACTTTCTTCTTTGGCCCAAGCACCTTGCCCACCCTGACTTCATTTTGGCTGAATTGGGGACTCAGTTTGAACTTTGGGGCACATGCTAGGCAAGTGCTCTACCAGTGACGGACACCCTGGACACACATTCAATCTCATTCAGCCAATAAGAGGCAGAGCCTTTTCCACAGTTTGAGAAAAAGGGTTGTATCGCACCCCTCTGCTGTGATAGAAGTTGTAGCTGCTTTTTTTTTTTTTTTTTTTTTCCGGGGGGTTTTTTTTTTTTTTTTTTACCGGGGTGCTGGTGATCCAAACTCCGGTACTCATGCTTGCAAGGCAGACGCTCTAGACTGAGCCATCGCCTCAGTCCTGATGACCGCTCTTTCTCTCCTGCAGTGTGGAAGGGGAGTATGTTCCAGTGGAAGGCGACGAGGTCACCTATAAGATGTGCTCTATCCCGCCCAAGAATGAGAAACTGCAGGCTGTAGAGGTGGTCATCACTCACCTGGCACCAGGCACCAAGCATGAGACCTGGTCCGGGCATGTCATCAGTTCCTAGGGACCTGCCAGAACCCCCCTTCTCCTGGGCTTGAGGGAGACTATGGGGGAGGAGCAGGACACCCTCGATATAACATTCTACCATACAAGATGGGGCCTCAAGGCGGGCATGGCCCCTTTCAAGCATTTCCTGGAAGGGAGTTGTGGGCAGGCAGGGGGGTGCTCTCAGCCACCAGCACAGCCTCTAGCCATTGCAACAAGCTCTCACTGTCTGAAAACATTAAAAGCATTTGAAAAGGAGAGGGACCTGCGGTGGCTGAGTGGAGAGGGTACAGCCCTAGCCCAGGTGGGTGGGTAGGCGAAACGTGCTATTTTCCCAAATGCCCCGCCCGGTCAACCAAACCCAAAAGGACTCCTGGAACTAAAGACAACCTCCCCTCCCCAATCTATTTGGCACCCTGAGGGATGTCACCATGGGCCCTATCACACTTTCTATGACCCAATGCCCCGCTTAACTTGGGACCAGGTCAGACCCATCTTATGCTTGTCAGCCTGGCTAGTTCTAGGGAAGCTGGCTTATGTATGTAGGGAGCCTTCCAGAGGACTTTGCCTCTTGGTGCCTTTGCAACAGGTATGTCTCCATCTTGTGGGAAAGACTGCATCCCTTAGGAGCTCCCTCTCTAGCACAGTAGTTGGGGGCTCAGCACTGACCCCACCCCTGGGAATGCTGGTCTTTTCTACATCCAGGTATAAGGTTCCCTCCCTGTGGCATTAAGCCTATCATTAGGCCAATGCCGAAGAGAGCTGTGGGGGTGAGGAAGAGGCTTCTGCAGGAAGAGCTACAGAGGGGAAAGTGGTGCTTTATTTAAAGACAGAACCAGGCTGGTGGTGCATGCCTTGTAATCTCTGCACTTGGGTTGAACTAGAGTTCTAGGCCAGCCTAGGCTATGATCATGTCTCAAAACAAAAAAACAAGGGCTGGAGATGTAGCTCAGTGGTAGTGCACTTGCCCGGCATGTGTAGGGCTCTGGGTTCCACTGCTAGCATAAACCCCACAACTTTGACTCTGATGGCCTTGTCAGGTTAGGAGTTGGAGAAATATACCTTTGATGGGGAAGCAAGGCTTCTTTAAGACAGCTCTGACAAATGCCTAAGCATTTTTTCCCCCTTCCCCAGTGCTGGAGGGAGCCCAGGGCCTTGGAAATGCTGGCAGGTACTGCACTGAAGCCTCTGCCTGTCACTTTTTTTTTTTTTTTTTTTTTTTTTTGAGACAGGATCTTGCTTTAACTCTTAGCACCCTTCATGCCTTGGCTTAGGGTCACAGGCGTGCCTTCATACTTGGCTGATTTTGTTTATTAAATAGCTCAAACTCTCCCTCACAGCCCTCTGTTTGCCTTGCCCACAGCACTGTAGATTTGTAGGTGTTTCAAATGAACTGCTCCTTAGACTTGTTTTTGGTGGTTGGCTTTGGCTTTAGTTGTGATTTAAAAATAGAAGTAGTTGGGTAATGGGTTTTTGAAATCAAGTTGAGATTTCTTGTCAGAATAGGGGTACCAATACTGCAGGGGTGACTTAGGGCTCCAGTGATCCAGACCAGAGGTTTCTTTTATATGGAGAACACTGTTGACCTCAGTGTGTCTTAATTCTGGATGGGTGTGTGTTCATTCTAAGGGGACAAAGACTGGAGCTTTGACTGATGAGGAACACAGTTCAGAGGGCAAAGTGTCTGGAGGATTCCAGTTTAGTTCCCAGAAAAAGCCAGATGTGGTGTGCATACTTAGGTAGTCAAGAACTGGGGAGGCTAGGCCAGGCAGATGCCTGGGGTTTGCAGGCTAGCCAGCCTAGCCTATTTGGTGAGTTGGAGGTCAGTGAGAGACTCCATTATTTCTTTTGAAGAGGTGGCTAGCACCAAAGACTGAAAACAGGTTGTCCTCATGCATTTGCACAAACAGAAGCGGCTAAATGTGTGATGGTCTTGTGCAGCTGGCTCACCTCCACCACCCAGTTTGATAATTTTCTTTGTTATTGGGCTACTAGCAGATGGTTTTTTTCTACTAGGTCAAAGGTGGCTTTTACCCCTCCAGGCTTGGCTGACCGCCCAGAGCCTCTGCTGGCCAAGGAACAGACTTCCAAAGCCACTTTGCTAGGACCCAGGAAGGCTCCCTGAGATTGACACCCTTCTCTGTCACCCCATTGTCCCTAGCTATCAGTACAGCTTTGTTTTCACTCTGGTGTGGTGAGGCTTTGGGTGACACATGGTTGGCCTGCTAGTGGGCCCTGTCCGCCACTGAGCTGGCAGCCCAGTTCTGCTGGCAGGATGGCCTCTGGATTCTTTTGCCATACAGAATCCTTTGTAAAGGGCTTTTCCTGTATGGCCACATCACTTCAGCCTCTAGACTATTCTGGAATGCAGGTTATTGGTGTTGGAAAAGACCCCCTCTCTTCAGATTTGGAATATCAGGAGGGACCCAGTGCTAGTGACTGGGCAGGGAAGAACAGATTCCCAAATCTAGACGTTTGGCCCCATCAGCCAACTCTTTCACAATAAAGTTTGTTTTGTGCAACAAGATGAGGCTATGTGTGCACATGAGCCTGTGTGAACGTGCAAGGGGAATGGGGCTTGTTTATGCGGTGGGTTGTAGGTAAATGTGCAGTGGTGGCATTTGGGATGTTATGTAAATGTGAGAGAAAGGTCTTGAGGTTCCTGTTGAGGTGTTTGAAGGGAGCCTTGAGGCTACCCAGGGACCATGTGGAGAACCAGAGATGCAGACAGGCTGCCTGTCATATAGGTCCTGTGGCTCAGAAGAACAACAGTGAAGCCACCTGACTTGGAGGGTAGGGGAGGAGTAGCAGGTTGGTGATAGGGTAATGACAGACCAGGGTGGGGTGGCTTTACCAAGAGATGGGAATTGATGTATGGAACCAAGATGGGAATTTTGATGAGTTGGTGATCCTCCCAGTGGTTGGGGGAATAAGTAGCCTATCAAGCCTGTTCAGGGAGAGGACAAACAAGATGAAGTGACTACAAGCCTCCAAGCTGACTGGTGTGCTGTGGTAGGTGTACCTAGCCTGGGAAGAGGAAACGATTATGTGCTGCATGTGCGTAGACTGTGCTGAGGAACGAACATATTTGAATTTGCTCCTCAGTGCCTGTCTTCCCACCCAGACACGGTTGGGGATACCTTCTAGGGTCACACATCGCCCCTACACAGGAACTAAAGTAAACGTTTTGGTAAACTTCCTCTTAGCCCAGGCTTTCTGGAGGCTTCCTAAAAGTTAGTGACCTTGAGTTCTCAACAGGCAGCTCATGCAGAAGTGAACCTTTCTGAGCAGCCCTAGGATGCGTAGGTGCAGCCTCTGCTTCTTGTGATGCTGTCTACCCAACTCCTGCTTTCCTGAGTTCTTTGCAATCCCTACTTGGTAGGTCTGCCCACTTAACAGATGAGAAACTGAGGTCAGGGCTTGCCTTGAGCTACATCTGTCTAGCAGAACTAGTCCTTCATCCTGGGCAGCCACTCATCATACTGCAGGCCCTGCTCCACCAGCAAGGCCATACATGTGTGACTTAGCCACTATCGTTTTTTTACAGCCAGGTGATGCCTGGAGAGCAGAGGCCCTTTATTAGGTGGGAAGACTGAATGATGACTGTGTGTGTGTGTGTGTGTGTGTGTGTGTGTGAGAGGGGGGTGACAGCCACTGTAGGAACTGACAAGGCCTGAAGTCCACCTGGCAGCTTTGGGTCCCCACCTGAGGGCAGCACGGGACCTGCAGGCAAAACACAGCCTCTGGCCAGCTGGGACCTACAGCAGCCAGGACAGCTAGGGCTCCAGTGTCACTAGAGTAGAGCAGAAGAGGTTTTCAGGACCCAAGGTGGAGCTCTCTGAAGAACCCATCTGACACCCAGGATTAAAGTGACCAGAACAAGAGGCAAGGAAGGTGCAGTCCCTTTAATGTGTTTCCCTGGGCAAGTGATCACAGCACTGCCGTAAAATCCAAGAACGTTTGCCTCTGGGTGGAGATCCTGGCACTGTCCTGTGGGGGTGGACAGAGGTGAAGGGGTCAGTAGCAGATGCCAGTGTGGGTAGCCAAGGGCAGGGCTGTGGGAATACATGGTGGCTGGAGGCAGGAAAGGGTAGCAGCAGCAGTTCCCAACAAGGAGCTGGGCTGCAGAACCGTTTACTAGGCACTGGAAAGTGGCCTGGGGACTTTCTTAGAAGGCACTCCCTGAGGTTTTGGACGAGGCCTGTGCACTCTCCAGGAAGAGGCTGAAGGAGTGGCAGCTCCTATGTGGTCATCTGGCTATTACCTGGGTCAGGTAGCTTGGAGGGAAGGACTGCAGACAGGGCTTTGCTTTGCTGGGTCCTCTATCCCCCCTCCTGCTGGTGACAAGGCAGCAGTCCTGCTGTAAAATGTAGTAAATAGAGCCAGCCAGGCCAGTAGAGGTGCAAACTAGGATCAGTTGTCACTTGGCCAGCTATCTGTCAGGCAGGCCAAGCTGTGGTCTCTGGCTCATAGACAGGAAGCTGGCTTGAAAACAGAAACATCAGCCCTTTGGTAGAACACTGGCCTTAGTTCATGCCCCAGCCTCCACCGCAGACTGGGAATATATCACAGAAGCCTTCAGTTTCGTCCCAGGTGGGCAACTGTGCATAGCTTATGTTTTTTCATCATCAGGTCCCCCTTTTGATGGTGAGATGGGTGTGCACACTGACAACCATCAGGTCTCCCTGCACACTGACAATTGTCAAGTCTCTGTGAAACCTTGGCAGGTGTATTGGTGCATGTAACCTGCATCTGTAAGGCACAGGCATAAGATGGAGCTCAAAGTCAGGCTGGCCCAGGGCTACACAGTGAGACCATGGCTCCAAATAAAGCCTCCCCCAACCCACCACTGCCAGAAAACGGTCCACAAAGGGGAAGGGGCCCAGGCATACTGTTTTTTTTTTTTTTTTTTGTATCATCATATGGGGACATTTCAAAGACCAGCCATGGATCCTGTCAGCCAGTTCTTAGACCATAGGCTGAAGGAAGGGAATGGTGGAATACTTCTGTTTCTGAGGTACTTAAATCAATGGAGAGCCTCATCCATACTAGGCCAAGTGTTCTTTGGGTAATGCCCCCAACCCCAGAGCCACCATTCTGTTTGAGACAGGGTCTCATTCTGTACCTCTGGCTGTCTTCTGACTGGTTGGCAATGCTCCTGCCTCAGCTTCCTGAGTACAGATTCCAGACATGATCCACCACACCCAGCCACAGCCATTTCTGATTAAGTTCTTTCTTTTCCCTTGGGGCTGCCGGTGGTGCTAGATGGAGGTGGAGGCATGGCCTGTTGGCATGCCCAGTGAGGTGACCGCTAGTCCCTGTGTGTTTGGACCCATGAGAACAACCTGGCTGGAGGCTAGGGACATATACACATGAGGAGGGACTCCGGCTCTGGCCCTAAGTGACCCCGGACCCTGAGGGACCTTTCAGTCTTGTTGGCCAGGCCCATTCCTCTGGTGTTAATGGAAGAGCTCCTCACAGATCCTGCGTGTGTCCTCGGGTGCTGTCACCGTGTAGCCCACAGTTCTGGGGTCTGTGAAGATCTCATGGTCATTGCCACCCTGCAAAGACACAACAGAAGCAGTAGGCTACGGTTTGTCCTGGTCCCTGGCTGTTGCAACCCTGATGTTCCTAGCTTAGGGAGGTTTCTTCAGTTAATTTTCCCTTAGTTTCCAAGAAAGGAATGACATTTTTGTCACACTGAGCAGGAGTTTAACCTTCTCATGAACCGAAATCGAACTCAGAAAAGGTAATTATGCTCATGAAAGGCATCAGATGCCTTTGTGAGGATCTGGCTATGGCTTGTTTTTCTAGTGAAAAAGTACAGCAAATGACAATCACAGCTATCAGTTTGTCTTTGTGCCCAAATGTCTCTCGAAAGTCACAGGAATGTTGGAGGGGCAGGCTGCCTAGAGTGGGGCTGCTCACACCCTGTGAAATTAACATTTCACAGGTAGGTATACATGTTCCTACCTGTAGGTGTGCATGTGTAGGGTACAGGTTGATTGGGTATCTTTCTCAGTTGCTCTCCATCTCATTTGAGACAGAATATTCACTGAACCTGGACTTCAGTGATTTGGCTGGACCATTTGGCCAGGGAGTGCTAGGATCCATTTGTCTCTGCCTCCCAGTGCTGGGATCATAAGCATACACCACTATGCCTGGCTTTTTATACAAGTTCTGGGTATCTGAAAAGGTTTCTCACTTGTGTGGCAAATATGTGACTATGAGCTGTCAGCTTTGAGTTTAATTATCACCATCATTTTGAGGAAGTTAGGCTATATAGCTACATCATCATTACCATCATCACCATTTTGAGGAAGTTAGGCTACATAGCTCAGGCTGGCCTTAAATTCAAGATCCCTGGCTTTGGCCTCCTTTGGCTGGGATTACAGGCACAGGCCACCATCCCTGACTTTAATGAAATTTAAATGCCCCTCCAGTGACTACCTGACAGCAGATGGGAAGAAAGGTGGCAGGGTAGGGCTACAAAATAGCAGTCTGAGAGAGTCCTGCAGCAGGCAGAGATGGAGGGGTTGGCCCAGAAGTCACAAACATAATGGGACTCTTATAAGGATAGGATCTCTCTGGAGAGTGGACCACAGGTACTTGGGAGCTGCTTCTGCTATTCCAGGAACAGCAAACTTTCCAGGCAGAACCACCCCAAAGACTGTGTCTGAGCATTCCTCCTGAGGACCAGTTTACTCCCCCACCTGACAGAACTGAACATGATGGATCACACCTTCCTTCCTTTTGCAGACCTCCTCCTCTCCCCATCTGTCCTTTAAGCCTAAATTCACATCAGTTGCCTAGAGGTGGACTTTTGCCATAAAACTGGTTACAAATGGCTGGGAGTGGGGGAATGGGGGCAGAGAGAACAATTAGGAGACTCCTGACAGAAGCCACTACCTTAGAAGACAAACTCCAGAAGCAAAAGGCTTAGACTGGTCCTATGCCAGCTGCTACATTCGTCACTGACCCACATAGCAGTCTCCATGGTCCTGCTTTGTTGAGACAGGAAGCGAGTGGCACCTGTGAACTCTGATGGTGAGCTGTTTGAGGAACTCTACCCTACATAATGTCAGGTGTGGAAATTCAAAACTGGGCCACCTCTAATCCCAGCACTTGGGAGGCAGAGGCAGGTAGATCATCATGAATTAAAGGCCATCCTGGTCTACAGAGTGAGACCCCATGTCAAAAACAAAGCCCAGCATGTACAGAGCATGGAACAGTGGGTCTGAGGTCATCAGAAGCAGAACCAGGCCTGAGCTGTCAGCAGAGGCTGCCCCCTAGAATCAGGTGGGGCTGGGAACTAGAGAGTACAAAGGCTAGATATGCATATATTCCTGATCCTGCTAGGACAGGGCTCAGCCACCCCAAGCTCCCAGAATAAAAACTTCCAAAGAAGGATGGATATCCCTGGAAATGGGCAGCCCTATCCCCAAGGCATCTGGACGTAAACCTGCTAATATTTAAATCCTTAAAAGGCCCATGGTCTGAGGATGGAAAGGGAGGCTGGGACTGATGAGTACTGGTGACCCTCTGTGTGCAGACAATGCCAATACTCTCTGCAGCCTATGGGCCTCCTTTCAGAAGAAAGGTCCAGAGCTGCTGCATGGACAGTCACCCACAGCACAGCTGATTCTCTGTACACTTCAGTCCACACTCCCATTGTATCGACTCCATGATAAATTTCATTACCCATTTTTAGGTGAGGTGAGTATAGAGGTGAAAGGGACTGCTTTCAAATAGAGGAGCACTGCCTGGAGGTCAGGGAATCTGACAATGAAAACAACAGCAAACCCTCCAAAACCCAAAAACAAATATGGTCTGCCCACCCCAGATGAGGTGGCGATGGTGGCACACGCCTTTAATCCCAGCATTCAGGAGGCAGAGGCAGGAGGATCTCTGCGTTTGAGGCCAGCCTGATCTACAGAGAGTTCCAGGACAGCCAGGGCAACATACAGAAATCCTATCTCAAAAAAAAAAAAAGCAACCAACCAATCAAAATAAAAGGCCTGCGGGAGGCAGTCCCAGGCCTAGAGTCCTGAGGTTTTGAGTGTATACCTAAGGTGAGTCCCAGTTCTCCCCATCTAGAATTAGTATGTGGGGTGCAATATGGGCTGGGTTGAAGGCCCTAGAGTGAAGGTCAGATCTGTGGATGGCTTGAAACTTGACCACTGTACCGCTTCTCTAGCCAGTGGAGCAGGAGACAGCTATGGGCCAGCCTTGGCATGACTATGAGACACAGATTCTGTGACCCCAAGAAGTCAAGTGCATACCAGAGGTCAAAGCTGTGTCTCCCTGAACAGAAGAACCACAGCCCAGATAGTAGGCAGGGATGTTTACACCCTGAAGAACTAGTCTCAAGACTAGTAGGTTATGTACTCTGGTGTTCAGGGAGGCAGGCAGGGACCCAGGAAATGCCTGAAGCTAGTCTGAGAACCTCGAACCTGGTTAAAACTCCAGTTAGTTCAGGACTATGGAGAGAATGGATTCATCCAGGTTTCCCCTTGGTAAAGGACTCCCAAAAGAACTGGGCGGAGAGAAAAACACACATTGGATGCTATCACTGGCCCTTGAGGGCAGGACTCAGTCCGGGATGACAAAGGCCAAGCTCTCATCCAAAGCATGGCTGAGGACAGTAAGATGTGAGTTCAGAAGGTGCCAGTGGCTAGGTAACCCCTCTCTTGGATTTTCTGCAGGCCCTGACTCCTCAATCTCAGTCACAACTAAACCTTTCTGCAACACTCTTACAAAGCTGGAGGTTGAGTTGGGCTGTGAGCAGGCTCTGCAAAAAAGATGCACGCCCTGGGGCTGGAGAGGGCTTAGCAGTTAAGAACACTGGATTCTCTTCTCAGGGACCCAGGTTTGACTCCCAGCATCCACATGGTGGCTCACAGCTGCCTGTGAAACCAGTTGCAGGGGACCTGACACCCTCTTCAGACACACAAGTGGTACAGATTCAACATGCTGGACATAAGAGTGAACCTGCTGTCTGTACCCAACCCCCCACCTGTAGCCTGCAAAGGCCCCCATTCAGTGAGTGGTGCAACATTTCAACCTCCTGAAATCTGGGGAGACCCATCTGCCTTGAAAATCAGCTCAGGGTGGTCAAGAGGGGGGATGGTGGTAAGCCAGCCAGACCCGAAATGGCCCCACCACTTGCCACAGCAGTGAGACTCACAAGCCTGTCTCTGGGAACCTCAATGGGGATGAAGTTCCCCTTCTAAAGGAGCCATATGAAGATGAAAGAAGGCCCTGGGAGGTCTCAGGGCCTGACTAACGAAAGGGAGTCTAGGATTACATTTTTAAAAATACATATTGGTGTTTTGCCTGCATGTTGAATCTTTTCAGACTGCTTTATGCACTTATGAACTGATATGGAGAAAGACTACTTTTCCATCATTAGCAAAAACCACAGTACAATATTCTACTGTTGTGTTCTTTGCTAACAAAAAAACTCCACAGATGGGTGCATCACAGAGGGGATTAACTTCCATAGTGAATGGATGGCACCTTAAGTGCCAGTCCAGTGTCCAGCCCCACATCCTAGCTTGCTCACATGGACTCACAGCTAAGTTACTCAGAACAGGAACACACAGGCAAACACATAGGTGGCTAATGTTCCTTGCTGTCAGAATGCCTGTAAATGCCTTCAGAGTGCTGTCTGTCCACAAGAAGCCTGTGAGGTGCAGCCCTCTGGCCTAAGTGACTAGGAATTTGTCTGGTACCCCTGGAGAGCCACTGAAATCAGGGATGTGACTTTATTTAAGCTGGGTCAGCTGACCTTTGGGAACACTGGACTTGGGAGCTAAGGAACCTTTAGGGAAGGGCAGAATCTTTTTCATTTTGCTCTCAGAGGCCACCTATGTGTCACAGCAGATCCTGATGGCAGAGGCTGTGCTGCTGCATCGGGGAATCTACTGGGCAATTCTGTCCCTTTGGGCAGGAAGTAGCTTTTCATTGACAAAGCTCAGCCAGAAAACAGCAAAACCACGATAGAAAAGCTTCCTGGGTTTTTTTTGGTGTGGGGGATGAGGAATTTGAAACAGGGTCCCATTACGTAACTCAGGTTGACCTTGAACAAGTAATCCTCCTGCCTCTGCCTCTCAGTTGTTGGGATTATAGAAATATTCCACCATACCTGTTTTCATTTAAAATAATAAACAAGAAAATGTAAATGATGCATGGTAATGCAAGAGTTAAACAGAGCTGCAAGCTCTCTGGCTTTCAACAGCCACATTCTATTCTGCAAAGTCACAGCAAGGCTTCTGGATGGTGCTCCCATACCACACAGGGTCGGGTGGGGGGTCATTACCACAGAGAAGTCTGTTATGGGAACATTCTGGAGGATGGCTGTGCTGTGTTATTTTAACCTCAGGATAAAGTTGCTTTGCTTCAGACATGGCTGGCTTGGAGCAATGTCACAGCTGCCTTGGAGTAGCACTATTACCAGGTCAGAGTTTTCTGCTGTCGTGAAAAACTCCAGGTATTTAAGCAGGTGCAGACATCATCTGGAGGCTGATCCCCCAGCAACTCATGACGTCCAATTCAGATAACCAGTCCCCCAAAGAAACAAACCCACACAGCTGTCCTACCTGATAAGACCTAAACAACCAGGGCACTGTGACACTGAAAGACCGTCTGCCGCTTGGAACGCCTCTGCAGTCTCTCTACTGTCTTGCCTGCAACATGCCTAATAAACTCTGCTTCTGCCCTCTCCTTGGTGAATTTACTCATGGCTCATGTATCACTAGCCTAGTATGCTGTCCTGGCCCAGCACATAGTAGTGGGCCTTAATAGATCTCTTCCCCTTCTGTAAGAAATGGGACCTAGGATGCTGGAAGTGCAGCTCAGTAGAGTGTTTGCTTGCCTGACATGCACAGAATCCTGAGTGTGATCCCTAGCATTGTATAAACTGGCTGTGCTGGTGCATGTCTGGAGCCTCAGCATTTAGGAGTTGGAAGCAGGAGGATCAAGAGTTGAAGGTCATCTTTGGCTACATTGGGAGTTTGAGGCCAGCTTGGGCAGGACACCTGTCTCAAAAACAATGAAACAAACAAAAAGAAATGGCACCAACCCAGGACGGTGACACAGGCCTGTAACCCAGCTACTTGGAGGCTAAGGCAGGATGATTAACTTAATAAATCCCTTCCTCAAAATAAAAAGAAAAGGGTTAGGCATGTAGCTTAATGGTAGAGTTCTTGCCTAGCATAAGCGAGGTCCTGAGTTTAACTTCTAATACTGAAAAGGGGTGAGGGGACACCAAGTTAGACAAAGGAAGCATCCAGATCTAGAGCATAACTTCATTAGCTTAATTTTAAAGAAGATTCAAGACTTTCAAGGTCTATATTCAAAGTGTTTTGTGTGAAATCAACAAAGGGATTTGGTCATAAACCAGCATTAAGAAGGCTAAGGAACCAAAATAAATAAATAAAATCCCAAATGGGGAGTGGTGGCACATGCCTTTAGTCCCAGCACATGGGAGACAGAGCAGGAGGATCTCTGAGTCCAAGACCAGCCTGGTCTACAAAGTGAGTTCCAGACAGCCAGGAATACACGGAAAAAACCTGTCTAAAAGAAAAAAAAAAAAAAAAAGAAAAAAAGAAACAGCCAGAAATGGTGGCTCACACCTGTAATCCCAGCACTAGAAGCTGAGGCAGGTGGATTACCATGAGTTAGAAGCCAGCTTTGGCCATTGAGAGAAAAAAAAACCCACAGAAACAAAAAGATAAACTAAGCCTAGTGCCTGTACTGCTTCCACTTGAGGACACGGCATCAGTTTGTCCTCACTGGAGACAGTCTATGGTACTACAATGTGCTCTCATCTAAAAAGCAGGCCTCTTCCCAGGGCCAGATTTAATTCTTTTGGATCTATACTCAGCAGTGTGGTTCCTGAGTCATATGAGGTTCTATTTTTAGCTTTTTTTTTTTTTTCTTTTTAAACAGTAGTCCATATTGGCTGCACCATCTACTGTTTTGAGGTAAAGGGTCATTCATTTCTACCTTCTTTTGTGTGTGTCTATTAGTAATGGCCAGTCTAGTAAGGAGGAAGGTGGCTCTCACTGTGACCTGAACTTGCAGTCCACGATCTATGATTACAGATACCAACCCCCACATGCCCAGGAGTCCACTGTGTATCTTCTTTGGTGCAATGTACCTTCAAACATGTTAACTCAGTTTTTTTTTTTTTTTTAGTTATTTTCTATGTATGGGTGTTTTGCTTGCAGGTGCATTTGTGCACCAATGTGTGCCTAGTACCCACAGAGGCCAGAAGAACAGGGCATCAGAGTCCCATGGAATTGGAGATATATGGTTGTGAGCCACCATGTGGGTGCTGGAAATTGAATCTGTGTCCTCTGGAAAAGCAGCCAGTGTGTTCTTAGGCACTAAGCCATCTTCTTCGGTCCATTAAATCAGGTTCTTACTTTGCTGCTGAACTGCAGTAATGTCTGATATATTTTGGATAGACAGACATATGGTTTGTGAATATTCCCTCACATTTCATAGGCTGCCTTTTTTTGGGTTTTGTTTTGTTTTTTGAGACAGGGTCTCTATGTATCCCTGGCTGGCCTGGAACTTACTATGTAGACCAGGTTTGCCTTGAGCAAACCGATCCACCTGCCTCTACCTCCCAAGTACTGGGTTGCAAGTGTGTGCCACCACCCCCCAGCCACAGGGCGCCTTTTCCTGTTGTGGTTTCCTTGCTGTGCAGCAGCAGTGTTTTTGTCTGGTCCAGGCCTGTTTGTTTACTTGGCTTCCTGTGCCCGTGCTTTCAGGTCAGCCTAAGACAGTGTCCAGAAGCTGTTTCCTGTGTCTTCTAGGAGGTTTGCAATGTCAGGCTCACAGATAAATATCCAAACACAGTGAAGCCATGGTCCATTGTTCACAGAGGCACTGTGGCTGAGATGGGATTCAGTCTCCCAGTGGATGGATATGATGAACAGCATACCCATACAGTACCACCTTAACAAAGAAAATGCTGCTTTTCTTTTCTTTCTGTGTAAAAGCCCTGGCTGGCTGTCCTGGAACTCACAGAGATCCACCTGCCTCTGCCTTCTGAGTGCTGGGAGGTGTGTGCTACCACTGCCTGGCAATAAAGGAAATTCTTATTGCTGTTTGTAAGGATGAACCCGGAAGATGTTACACTGAGTGAAATAATCCACTGTCACCAGGGACCCTGCTGGAGATCTTGACAGAGGGACCAGAACTCCATAGCTACAGAATTCAGAATAGGTTCAGAATGGCCACTGTGCCTGAACCAGGATCCCTACAACAGGTGACATAGGAAGCATACAGGCATAATAAAGAGACTCAAGCCTAAGCATAGGCAATGAGCAGCTGGTACTGAGGCTGCTCTTAGGACTTGGCTGGTGGCAGTAAGCAACCATCCAGGGAGAACCTCACAATGTTTCCAAAGTGTCTCTGGGGAAATGGCTTCATTGTGCCCCTCTCCAACACTGGCCTCTTCCTGTGTGACACCCTAGGCAGATCCTCACTCCAATTATCCCTGACCAACTCTGAGTATCAATTCTCTATCTTCTCATATTTGTAAGCCTAGAATGCAATTTATAATGAACATGGTAGCAGGCGTAGAACAGAATAATAAAGCAATAACGGTGAAGGTTTTGTTTGTTTTTTGTTTGTTTTTTTTTCTACACAGAGTCTCATTGTGGCTGGACTTGAACTCATAGAGATCTGCCTACTTCTGCTTCTGAAGTGCTAGCATTGAAATACAGAGGGTTTGATGACAAGTGATCTTAGTGGCACTTGGAGTGGGCAATACTTCATTCAAGAGGCAGACTGAAAACCATCTACAGTCTTTGCTTCCACTGGGGCAGGGCCTCAAAGCTTTGAGAGGGAGGCTAAAAGGGCCAGCAGGTAGAGTGTAAGATAGCAAAAAAGCCTGCTGTAGTTTTCCCTGTCCAAGCTCAAACTGCAGACTTTCCTACTTACCGGCATAGTCTTGTCTCCAAAGAAATAGATGGTTTTGTAACCATCATGCTCTAGGTGTTTCAGGCAATACCGCTTGTCCCATCCATCAGGAAAGACGTCAAAGCTGATTTGGCCGCCTGCAGGATGGGGAGGGGACACACCAAGATGGTGAATGGTTACAAATGAAGATAAGGAGGGCTGGGGTATGTGGCTCAATTGGTAGAGGGCTGGCCTAGCAGGCCTGGGGCTGGGGTGGTGTTGGGGGGGGTGGAGGGGAGGGGGGGTCACCTTTTGGAAAATAATGCAGCTTATTTAATGCTGCTTATGGACAGGCTGTTTGCTGTTTTTCCCAGAATTATTTCACCTGGGTCTAAGCGATCATCTCTCTTAATGCTTCTTCAAGGAAGAAACAAAGTTTAAATGCAGCAGGCTTATATAAAAACAAAGTAAGGCTTTCCTTATCACAGTGGGCCTGTCTGGCAATTTAACATACCCTGAGTTAGGCATGTAAGTGCATTCTTGTTATCCTAGCATTCAGGAAGCTGAGACAGGATGATTATGGTGAGTTCAGAGGTCAATCTGGGCTTCATGTGAATTCCAGGCAAGCCTGGGCTACAGAATGAAACCTTTCAAAAAAACCTAGCTAAGCCAAACCACTATCGGAAAATGCCAGAAGCAGGCTGTATGAGCTCATCCTACTGGCAGTAGGTTCATTATAGGAAAGACAGCTTACTATTCCTTCCTTCCTTCATTCATTCATATGGGTGTTTTGCCTGCATGTATGTCTGGGTACCATATGCATGCCTGGTTCCTGAGGAAGTTCTGTCAGAAATCCCAGGACTAGAGTTACAGATCATTTTGAGCGGTCACATTGATGCTATGAATTGAACACGTGTTTTCTAGAAAAGCAGCCACTGTTCTTAACTGCTGAGTTGGCTCTCTAGTTTTCATAGCAGCGAAAAACCAACCAACCAAACAAAAACTCCAAAACATTTTCAAAGCTATTAGAAAGGCATTCACTTAACAGTTCAGAAATAATTTAAAATCTGCCTGATTGTGTCTGACACATGGTTCCTTTGCAAGGCCAATTTCCCTACAACCTGCAAATGTGTTAAAGCTAGCAAAGCTGGAGGACTTTAAGTCAAGACTGGTAGTGTTGCCAGGAGAAATGAACATGTTTGGAGCATTTAATGGGTAAGGATACATGAGTCGGCTCAGTGGGTAAAGGTGATTGCTGCCATGTCTGATGACCTGAGTTCAATCCCCTGGGACTTATGTGGTAGGAGAGAACCAACTCCTCACAACTGTCCTCTGACCTGTACACATGTGCTGTGGCCTGTGTGCCCTGATAAACCAAACATATAATAAAACTTAATAAGTACATGCCACCAAGTGATGAGGCAGGAGTCAGGCTGCAGGCAGAACTCTACGAGACACTACTGACTCAATGGCAGTCAGCACAGGCTTTGTATGCCTCAACTCTTTGTTGCTTTCTGAGCCTGATTCTTGCTCTGTAAAAACCATCTACTAATTTCTGTGGTTCCTTGATGGTGACACACTGCAGGATTTCAAGAAATCTTAGTCTCCTTCATCTGAGAGGCTCACAGTTCACCTCTCCTAGAGCTCAACAAGTCTTCTCTTCCATTTAAAGATGTGAAGCTTTTACTGTTCACACAGCAAGTCTGTGTAAGAGAGAAGAGTAGGCAGAGAAAGTCCTGCTGGGTACAGAGGTAGAACCAGACCCAACAGCATGGAACCACTTCCTGGTTTGGGGGTATCCTGCTGTGGCTGCTTATCTGCAGTCTATAGGCTTTGTGTGTAACTGTGGAAGAAGAGCAGAATGTTGAAAATCTATGTCAGGATTAACATGTTGCTTAATTGGGCAATGGTGGCATACACCTTTAACCCCAGTACTTGGGAGGCAGAGGCAGGTGGATCTCTGAGTTTGAGGCCAGCCTGGTTTATAGCGCAAGTTCAAGACAGACAAACTTACACAGAGAAACCCTGTCTGGGGTGGGGTGGGGCATGTTGTGGCTGGAGAGATGGCTCAGGAGTTAAAAGCATTGGCTACTCTTGTAGAGGTTTGGGTCTCATCACCCACATGGTTCACACTGTCTGTAGCTCCAGTTCCAGGGGATCCCACATCTTCTTCTGGCTTCCTTGGACACTGCTCACACATACATACAGGCAAAACACTCACACATATAAATAAAATCTTGAGGGGGGAGGGAAGAAGAGAGAGGAGAGAGAAAAGGAAAGAGAGAGAGAAAAGAGAGACAGAGAAAGAGAGAGAGAGAAGAGAGAGTTAATTAACAAGTAAAAGAAGCCAGTTTGCAGAGGAAGACTGGAAGCTTTCTTAACTTGCATCACCTTATAAACAGAGCACAATCAAAATAAAGCCCACAGTATACAAAAAGAGGGAGGGGGGACTATAAAAGACCATCCACTCTCTGGCTGGGTGCTTTTGGAGCTCCTCAGCTCACCAGTCACGTCCACTCTAGGAGGGTACTTTGCCCTTTCTTCATAGCCTCTCCATTCTACTACATCTAACTTCTTTTTTTTTTTTTTTTTTTTTTTTTTTTGTTTTTTTGAGCCGGGTTTTCTCTGTTTAGCCCTGGCTTTCCGGAACCTCCCTCTGTAGATGCTTGCCTCTGCCTCCCGAGTGCTGGGATTAAAGGCGTGCGCCACCACTGCCCAGCATATATCTAACTTCTAAAGCGCAACTTTCCCTCCATCATTTCTCCTGGTGGCCACTGGTATTTTACATAATTTATACTCTTTTTCTCTTAAACTAATACTGTTATCTTTAGGATCCCTCCTGAGTCTGTTTCTAAGTTTTGTTTGTTTGTTTTTGATACAGGGTTACTCCGTGTAGCTTTGGAGCCTGTCCTGTTCTGTAGACCGGGCTGGCCTCAAACTCACAGAGATCCGAGTGCCTCTGCCTCTCCCTAGTGCTGGGATTAAAGGCATGCGCCACCACTGCCTGGCTCTAAGTTATTTTCTTACTGAGAGTAAGAACTCTATAAGGGAAACTTGGTTTCCCCAATAACAACCGTCCTATCCAGCACTGAATAATTCAGCGGCCCACCACATGCTCTAGGTACAGAGGGACCAAAGCTCCGATACACACCATACCTATGGAGAATGTGAGGCCTTTCCCTGCAAACTCCTTCTTCAGGTCTGCCACGAATTTTTGTCGTATATTTTCTTTCTGAGAGAATCAAAAAGATACTAATTGTTCATTGCATCACAGTGTTGAAGAACTGGCTGTTGCTCAAGTATGTCTGAGAACTCACTTTATCAAGTTCATAGAACTCAATTCGTTCTTCTTGGCTGCAGCTTCTTCCAATAGGGGACACATTCAACATGCCATTTCGGAATTCAATGAAAGTTCCCCTGGGGAGGAAAAGCCACAAATTAAAAAATAACTTATTTACTTGGGCAACATTACATTCTAGACAGCAGGAGTATGTGACCCAGTTTTCTCATGGAAGCTTTGAACCACACACTTTACGATAGACTCAAAATGGGGCAAATCCAGATGAAGCTGTATAGACTTAGCATAGAAAAGGAATGGAATCATCATTCACAATTGTTTCCTTTATGTGTGTGTATGTAGGTGTGCATGTGAATGTGTGTGAATGCACAAGTGGTGGCCGGAGGTCCACAGTGGGGGTCTTCATTGATTCCACCTTGTAGTTTTGAGATAGGGTCTCTCACTGAGTCTGGCGCTTACCAATTCAACCACAATGCCTCATCAGCAGGCCGCAGGGATCTACCCTGTTCTACCTCCTCAGCACTGGGACTGTAAGCAAGCACTACCAGAGGCAGCTTTTTTGAGCATGCTGGGGAGCAAACTCAGGTACTCAGGCTTGAGCAGAGAGAACTCTACTGGCTGACCTACCTTCCCAGCCCTATTTCTTTTTTGAAAAAAGCAAACAGAGATGTAGTAAGTAAACAAAACTAAAAACTCCCAAGAGGGGGAAGAATCCCAAGGGAGGAATACCCCACACCCCACTTTTTGAGACAGGGTCTTATGTAGTCCGGCTGTCCTTGAATTCACCATGTAGCTGATGATACATGACCTAGAGCGTCTGGTCCTCCAGCCTCCATCTCACAAGTTTTGGGATTACAGGCTTGAGGCGCCATATCTCACTAGTCATAATATTTTACATTGACTATTTGATAAAATGTTTTTGATATACTGCTTTAAACAGGGCATGTTATTAAAACAATTACCCTGTGGCTCACTGTTTCTATTGCAACTGATTAGGAGCATCTCATAGCAATAAAGAGCTGGGAACGGATTCCAGCATAAGGGCACTTGCTCCTGCAGGAGTCTCACATCTGTTTCTGAGGCATCTGTTTGGCTAGTCAGCTCTTGAACAGCTGATGTCATTAAGGGAGGACACAGGTTCTGAGACTGTGTAGTTCATGGGGACTCACTAATGACTCAGAAAACTATTTATTCAGAGGCAGACTGCTCACTCAGGCTTAAATTAATGTGATCACAGAAAATGAAGCAGACCAAAGGTTTCAGTGATTCCAGTGAAGATGGCTAAAAACTTTAAATCATGTTTTTAGTTTTAGACTCAGAATACATACATTTGTTTTGTTTTTCGAGATAGGGTTTCTCTGTGTAACAGCATCCTGGCTGTCCTGGAACTCACTTTGTAGACCAGTCTGGCCTTGAACTTGCAGAGATCCCCCTGCCTCTGCCTCCCAAGTGCTGGGATTAAAGGTTGGCCCCACCATGCCCAACCTAAAAAAGTTTTTTTTTTTTTTTTAATTTATTTTGTGAGGGATAGGTTGGATAGGCACGTGTGTAGGTCAGAGGACAACTTGTGGGAGTCAGGTCTTTTCTTTCTTTCCACCATATGGGTCCAGGTCATGAGGTACCCTGCTCTATCACTCTGCTTTAGTTTCTAGAGACAGTCTCTCCCCATGAGCCTGGCCAGATGATGGGGCAGCAGTCCCAATGGTCCTGTCTGTCCTCTACAGAGCTCAGATTATAGGTGTACATGTGATCACAGTTGAATTCTAATGTGAGGTCTGAGGATGTGAACTTGGCCCTTCATGTTTGCATAGCAAGCACTCTTCCTCACTGAGCCTACAACCCTCTAACCCCTGTAGTGTGGATTTTTAAGCACTGCAGGCCAAACCTATTTGATTTTATGTGACATTTACCTTGGAGGCCTCCTTACACTTTCAGATTGTGGGCTTCTGATGCTTTTATAAGATTATGTGTACGTGTGTGTGTGTGTCTGTGTGTGTGTGTGTGTGATATATGTGCCCCGTGAGGCATATGTATATATAATTATGCGTGCAAGTTGTATACTGTTCTCGCTTGACACTGTTGTCAGCACTGTTCTCCGGCTTATCTTCTGAAACAGTCTTTCCTTGAAGCCAGACCTCACTGCCTGACTAGACTCCCAGGATACTTTGTCTCCATTCCCTCATGGCTAGAGTTTCAGATGCTATGACCATACTCAGTTTTTATGAGTGCTAGGGATCTGAACTTTGGCCCCCATGCTGGTGTGACAGGTACTTTAGCTATAGCAATTTCCTGAGACCTTTTTTTTTTTTTTTTTTTTTTTTTTAAGATAAGGTCTCACTCTGTAGCCCAGGTGGACCAGGAACCTCACTATGAAGTCTAAAATACACAGCAGTGACTCATCATACCTGCTCCTACACCATTTTGTTTAAAACAGGGTCTTACTGTGTAGTTCTAGTTGTCCTAGAATTCACTCTGTAGACCATTCTGGCCTCCAACTCAGAGATCACCTGCCTCTGCCCCCAAGTGCTGGGATTAAAAGTGTGCGCCACAATACCTGGCCTGTCTCCCCGACCCTTTTTTGAAAACAGTCTAGTTATACTCTCAGGTTGGCCCTGAACTTGTGACCCTTCTGCCTCAGCCTCTCTAGCACTGGGATTATAGACAGATGCTATTTCACAGGATTCTCTCTCATGACACCACTGAGCCTGCAAAGGTTTCAGTGTTTGGATAGCACTCCCTCATAGGGGTAGCCATCTTTTTTACAACCATTTTCATGTGGTTGGCTATACAGACTTCTTCTAAGTAGTTGTACTAAGTGCTGGGTTCTGGCTATAAGCATGAATCCACCCCAAGAGCCCACTGCTTCATATTTTAGAAGCGCCTCCTTTGTTCAGAGTGAACCCACCTTTTCTTAGGGAGTTTAATTTTTGCAATGTAGCTCAGACAGTAGTTGATCAGGTCTTGGATCACTGCCTCCCCCAGATGACCTTGAATACTCTATGTAAACAAAGCATGAGTTATTTGATATAATAGAAAGTACTGTCAAAACAGCTTCATTGCAAACCCAGATCTTCCGACAATACTGCCAGAAGCCGGAGGCTGACTCAGCCGGGACAGTGACATATTTTGCTGTCCTTTCACCTTTTTCTCTTTTCTGTTGGTGGAAAACAATTGGCAAAACACAGACACCTCAGTCAGAAGCTTCATTACTCAGGGATTCAGGTTCATTTTCTTTTACACACTTCCCAGAATGGCCAGAGAGCTTACCGCAATTGCTCTTAGTATTAAGTGCAGCTTCTCTTCCACAGCCCCTGGGTGAATGACCTGCTCTAGCTTTGGCTATTGTAATAGAAACACTGGACTCAAGCAGCTTTAAAAGGCCATTATAAAGATGTAATCACTATCTGGAACAAGCAACAGCTGTGTGGAGCAACATTCAAACTTAACAAAGAATACAGTGTGAAGATTCACTCCCTCCCTCCCCCAGCTCCCCAGTGTTCCCGGAGGCATTCAATCATTATCACATGTAATGTTTTGTTCTGTGCCCCCCTTTTCTTTATTGTTTTTATACATTTTGAGACAGTGTCTCATTAAGCTGCCCAGGTTGTTCTTGAATTCACTTTGTAGTCCAGGCAACCCCTGAACTTTTGACCTTCCTGCCCCAGCCGTGCTGGCTTACATATGGCACATCAGTAGTAATACAGAACGGGCTGTATACTTAAGAACTTACCTGCTTACACAAAAGCTTCCCATCTTTGTATGCCACCAAGCCATTCTCTGGAAATACATAATCGTATTTCTCAACCACTACAACCAAAACAAGATAAAACTGATGATGCATTGAATAGAAACTAGCCTTTTTCTTTCTTCCTCAGCACCCACCCCCAAAGACCTCACTAAGCACCCGAGGGCTGTGCCAGCCCAATCAAGAGGCTGGGGATTTAGATGGCAGCTTTAATGCTAAGTCTAAGGGATGACAAATGAGCTGCAGACAGACCCTGACTCCGGCCTGCCAGTGTGGGAGTAAGATGCTGGCCCATCCCTGCTCCCAACCCTGTAATGAACCAGCAAGCAAAAAGGGACAAAGATGGTCACACTCTGCTCTCAGGCTTTCCACATCAGGTTTGCCAGGCTGAATTTGTGTGTATGTATGCGTTTGTGTATGTACATGCCATGGTGTGTGTATGTACGTCAGAAGACAATTTGTGAGATTGCTTCTCACCTTCTATGTGGGTTTAGTACTGGACTTGGGTTGACAAGTACCTCCAGTGAACAATCAATCTCCCCAACCCCAAAATGATTTTTTTATAAAGGTTTAAAAAAGCTGTCTTGCTGGGCATTGGTGGCGCACGCCTTTAATCCCAGCACTTGGGAGGCAGAGGCAGGGGGGTCTCTGTGGGTTTCAGATGATTTTTTTATAAAGGTTTAAAAAAGCTGTCTTGCTGGGCATTGGTGGCGCACGCCTTTAATCCCAGCACTTGGGAGGCAGAGGTAGGCGATCTCTGTGAGTTCGAGACTATCCTAGTCTACAAGAGCTAGTTCCAGGACAGCCTCCAAAGCCACAGAGAAACCCTGTCTTGAAAAAGCAAAAAAAAAAAAAAAAAAAGCTGTCTTGAAAAGATGATTCTTATACTCATTTAGACTTGAAGAGTAGCATATAACCCACAAAAGGTCTGCCTGCCTTTGCTCCCAAAATGCTGGGACTGAAAGTATGTGTTACTATGTCCACCTGTTTGTTTTTGAGACAGGACCGCATATAGCCCAGGCTGGCCTTGAATTCACTATAGTCCAGCATGACCTCAAATTCTCAGCAAGTCTCCTGAGTGCTTAGATTACAGGTATGCTGACACAAGGTGAGCTCTTAGCTGCCTACTAGTATGAGTGTTTTGACTCATTACATACGTCTTGTATGAAACACCCAGCTCTGCCACAGTGATACAAAACCTCTCAGAGCATGCTGTAAGTACACTTTGGAGGCAGGAATGTCGATCATCCCTGTGGCAGGATTTCCTGAGATGAATGTTGCTGACAGATTTCTGAAGAAAACACCTCTGAGGATGATGAAGTGGAACATGTCCTACAGACTGCAGAGCTGACTGACTATACCCAGTATCTGATCTGACCAAAGACTTGCACTTTCAGATAAGACATGCTGAGTTCCCAACCATGGGAACTTGACCCCCAGGACACACCAGGCAATGTCTAGAGACAGCCTGGATGTCAAAACTGTGTGCAGGTGCCTGTGTGTACGCACTCTACTGGCATCTAGTGGGGAGAGGCCAGAGATGGCACTAGACATCTTACAGTGAACTATCCTGTCCAGCATGACCTTAGTACTAACATGACTCTGGGACAACAGGGCAGTTTTGTCTATTTTAAACTTATGTTTATTAAAAAAAAAAAAAAAAGCCAGTCAATGGTGGTGCACGCCTATAATCCCAACACTCAGGAAGCAGAGGCAGGTGAATCTCTGTGAGTTTCAGGACAGCCAAGATGGCACAGAAAAACCCTGTCTCAATAAACAAACCAAAAAATTATTTGATATGTATGAGTATTTTACCTGTATGAATGTATGTGCACCTTATGGGACTGGAATTAAAGTCAGTTGTGATCTGTCATGTGTGTCCTGGGAACTTTCATAAAAGCAGCAAGTGCTGTTAACTGCTAAGCCATCTCTCCAACCCCACCTGACATCAAACTTGTGACTCCCGTGTCTCAGCCTCCCAAGTATCTGGCTCACAGAAGAGCACTCCACACTATTTCTCACGGGCCAGCTACCCCAGAAACCCTGGGAAAACAGAGAGGAATAACACATAGTCTGTAAGACAACAAAGACTTTATACCAGAGTGTGCTCCATCAGCAGGGTTGGGATACTTGCTAATATATATGTTCAGGTCTTAGAGACCTGCTGTTCCATCATCTCCAGGAAAGAAACCAGAAGATGCTCCAGCGAGGTGTGGTGGTTGACGCTGTCACTCTAGCACTTAGGAGGAGAAGGTGTAGCTTGGGCTACAGAGTGAGACCCTATCACAAAGGCTCTCTAGCTTCCTAGTCCTGTGCTGGAGACCCTGGTGATGTGGATCCTAGTGACTCTCATGATTAGGAAACCCTGGAACACACTCCATCAGGGCTACAGGGACAAGGTACTGAGACCATAAGTATATACAAATCTGAGTGGACAGCATAGCCAGGAGGTGGGGTTTGGGCTGAAGTGAGAGAGAAGTAAGGGACATGTAAAATAGTAGGGAGAGAAAAGGTTCCACAAGTGAAGACAGACATGCACTTCAAGGTGAGTCTGTCTACACCTGAGTGTAGGGTTCTGTCAAAGGATTAAAACAAAGGCCAAATAAGGGCAGAGAAGATGTTTTCCCAGAGAAAGCAGAAAGCATGCTATGTGAGTGATGGTGGTTTGGGACTGCAGGGGACACTTGGCGGCAAGTCTCAGTACCCTCATGAGAAGTTAATCTTGTACTAGAGTGTAATTAGCACTTACCATCATTTCCCAGTTGCTCTTGCACTTTCTCAAAATCTGACCCACCTACCACTCCAATTTTGGTCTTCTGCCTCAATTTTTGTAGAAAGTCATCCATTTCTTTTGTAATTTTCTGTATGTCAGGAAGGAAAACAGGATGATTTGAGTGACAATAACCAGATTGAAACTGCAAACTAATTTAGTTCCTGTTTTTACACAAGCCCAGTGCTTTTACTAAGTGTGTAGAAAAATTACTATTTAGTTATATTTATTCACATTTGTCTACTCACTTATGAATGTTTATGGTGTTCTCTGTCCTGTGCAATGACTTGCTTTTTCTATTTTATGTTGTGGTAACCTTTTATGATAATACATACATCTAGTTTTTCTTTTTTGTTTGTTTTGTTTGAATATATATGTCTGTATGCCACAAGCATACAGTGCCTGAGGGCAGAGATCACTTGGAACTGGTGTTACAGATGGTTGTGAGTCACTATGTGGCTGCTGGGTCCTCTGGAAGAGCAGCCAGTGCTCTTAACCATGACACCATCCCTCCAGCCCAATCTTTTGTTGTTTAAAGGTGTTTCATGTTATATACATATGATTTAATATGTCAGAAGTAGGTATAGTGTCAAGAGCTATAATACCAACACTTGGGAAATGGAGGCAGGAGGATCAGAAATTGAGGGTCAGGTTTGGCTACATAGTTGGATTTCCTAAGACTGTCTTTTAACAGACAAACAAAAACAAAATACAAAATGGTGAAGGAGCATGACTGTGATTTAGAAAGTTACTAAGAGGAAACACAAAGTCATTTTGATTAAATATCAGCTGCTTTTAACCTAAGTGACAGGGATATGGGTTCTCTGTTCACTGTATTTGTCAATGATCTTTCTATGTGAGATTTTTTTTTTTTTTCAGGATGCCAGAGTTGGAATATGATTCATGGAGGCCTGTGTCCTTATTTATTTATTAATTTATTTTTTGAAAACTTTTCTTAAGTCTTACTCTTTAGGGACGGAATGACATTTGATTTGGAAGAAAGCACCCAGGCCAACAAATTTCTACACAAACAGGAAATGTGCAGACCTTTGAAGTTCATGCTAACCAGACTGGATCCATGCAGGTCACATCATATAACAACAACTGCAATAAAAGATAGCCTGTTCTTCCTCTTCCAGACCGCACTGTGATTAGTAACGTCTAAGAATACACATGGATGGAGGCGGGAAGGGCTGATGATAAACAGATCTGCTGCCAAAATATTTGAACTATAGTACCAAGCATATAAAAAAAATTCTCTTTCAAATTACATTTTCTTTTATTGTCACAATTGCTTATGATCACTGCAAGCATATTGTTTCAAATGTCTGCAAGGAAATACATTCTGGGTCACCTGGCTTTTTTGCTATTCTGTATTTCATGTTTATCTATCTTCATTTACTTGGGAAACAGAAGCACTTTCTCAGTAGCATATCTAGTACCCAGAGTGGCCTCCACCCAAGCAGAGTGAAAGGAAATTGGACAACTAACAGTGCCCTGAGGACCAGGATCTTTAACTACAGCTGCTATGAGAGAGAGGCAGTCAGGGCTTCACTGGTTTCGGTTTCCTTACTTTTGAATGGTAGAAGCTGGGTGGTGGGGGCATGCACCTTTAATCTTAGCAAAACTGCAAGTTCAACACTGTACAAAGGCTTAGAAATGTAGACTCCTGGCCACTATGTCTCCTGGGCCAACTGAACAAGTTTGTTTCTATAATAATTTTATTTTTATTATGTATGTATACGCATGTACATGTGCCACAATGTACAAGGAGAGGTAAGAAGACAACTTGTGGGAGTTGGTTCTGTCATTCTACCATGTGGGTTCCAGGAATTGAACTCAGGTCCCAAGGCTTAGGGTTTAATGACTCTACCCACTGGGCCATCTAAGCGGCCTCTTAATAAATTTATTAGAACATAGCTACTCAGTTTACATTTGGTCTATGGCTGTTTTTGCACTAAAGTTGAGTAGTTACTACAGGTCATATGTTCTACAAAGACAAAAGCCCTTTACAATATATGATTTCCGCTTCCAGCTCTAGACTACTATTGGCTCTTGTTTTGAGGCAAGTTCCCCAGGTTTGCCTCAAACTCACTATATGGCCCAGGCTCTGAACCCTCAAATCCTCCTGCAGGGATTAAACCCTATGCCACCTGCCCACCTTACTATCGACTTAACTCATAAGTGTGCATTGAGCAATGAAGCTGAGTAAGGGTTCTGGAGAACTTGTGGTTGAATGCCATCACTAGATAATTCAAACTGTGGCTCAGAAAGGCTGATTGTGGTAGAGAAGGGGTTGGGGTGGTGCAAGCGTCTCCTCTTTGAGGCTTGATGTGGGCGCGGCACTGTCACGAATTTCTGTTATCCTCACACACACCCCATGCAACAGGCAATACACCCGTTTAAAGTGGACTGGGGACTCCGAGGAAGTGATTTGCTCAAGGTCAGACATCTGAAAACCTGCCTTTGATATACTAGACGACACAGCCAAAGGTGACAGGGCTGGGAAAGTGGTACAGCAGGTCGGGGGGGCTAAACTGGAGTTACAATCCGGGCCACCAGTCCCCAGGACCCCCAAAGAAATTCAGACCCGAACTTTAAGACTCCGAACTCTTTCCTGTTCGGAAGAGGTCGTTTTTTGCCCCGTCTTCCTGCGCACCCCGCTCAGGACCCACGTCTCCTGGTCCCCGGGCGGTGGTCACCGCGGTCTGGGTTCTGCACGGGCTCCGCTCCACAGCCGCGAGCCTCCCGGGCGCCGCCTACCTGCCGCGGGGCAGTCAGGGTCCCATCCACGTCGAAGAGACAGAGCGCGGCCATGATTCCACTCGGAAGATTTGTTGGCACCCGGAACTCCACCCGGAACTTCCGGGTTCATTCCGAGCCCCGTAGCCCAAGGCACGACGGGAAAACGATGATTCCCTAGTGACTCACCGAACACTCACATAGACACAAGATTTAAACTACAATCCCCGAGATCTAACACTTTGTTTTTGGTTTGCGCATGCGGATTTTTTTTTAACTTTCCGCTCATGCGCTCTTCGAGTTTCCGGGGACAAGTCGGTTTACTTTTCACAGCAGGAGACCGTATCATGGTACGGAGGGCCGGTAGTGGGCGGTGAAAGAGGGTACGCAGTTAGGGGACCCTGGTCGAGCCTAGGACTGGCAGGAAGGATGCCTGGGCCGCCGATTCGGGAAGTGTATTATGATCTGTTATTTCCCAGCCTCCTCCGTTCCCCTTGGGTCACGTGGGCGGTCAGAGTCGCTACGACTCCCCGGGCGCGCATCAAGTCCAGGGCCTAAGATTACCATGTCTCGCTCAGCATATTCTGAGGCTTTCTTTGGAAAGGTGCACAAGGATGCACAGCTAGTGTCCGTGAGAGCCCGCCTCTGACTCTGAAGCTCAGAATTTGCTCACTTGCTACTCATCCAGAAAAATGTTGTGCAGTGTGTTGAAGGCCTCCGTGTCGCATTTCTCCGCTGTTCCCCCTTTCCCAACCAGGCTAATAGATAGTAGTTCTCCTACCGTATAAAGAAGTCGGGAGAAATGCAAAGGTACTGTGAGAAGTACCCCAAAGTTTTGATGCTTGGGTTTCCCACTGTGACACCGATTGGTTTACTCCTTGAGGAAGTGTCCCACAGACTTGTGGACCTAAGTTCGAGTCCACTGCTGGCTCGTCAGTAGGTCTTTACTGAATGTCTGAAAGTAAACCTTTCCTGTGTTTACTTGGACCTGCCTAAGGGAAAGGACCGGCCTGAGAGACCTGGCCCCATTCATTCTGTTGAGTTTCCGTGCCCTTGCGGGGGAGGGGACTTAGTTTTTAATTTAAAAAAAAAAAATCCTGGTGTGTTCAATGTGCATATGCTTGTGCCGTGGCATGTGGAGGCTCAAGGACATCCCTGCATGAGTAATTTTTCTTCCGATACTGTGTTGGCTCCAGAAGTGCAATTCAAGTCATCTGGCTTGGTGGCATGCACCTTTACTTATGGGATATCTCACTGGCTGGGATTAGGGTTTCTTTGTTTGTTTGTTTACTTGTAAAAACAGGAGTATGCACTTATCCAGAGCAGAATTCCACAAAAAGTGAAGCCCCAATGGCTTTCTAGGGTTGGTTGGAGCCTTTCTGGAGGAAGCTTTGCCTTGTTCCTTGTGTGATTATTATGGTTGAATTCTGAAAGAAACTCTCTTTTCCAGTCTGTCTTCCTTCGAGCTGTGCCAAGATTTCAGGGGCCAGCCACATGGGGGAGACCTCTTCATCGGCTGTGGTGCTGCACTGGGCAGGGGGATTCCAACAGGTGGGTGACTAGCAAGGCTCCCACCTTGCAGGAGAAGCCACCAGGCACAGAGACGGAGAAATTCCATACAATCTACCGATTCAGAGCCATCAAAAGATTTGGGTTTCTATCTCGACTGAAGTTGGCCCAGACATTTCTGACTGTGACAGCCCTACCCCCAGGCTTGTACTGGTACTCACAGGGCCTCCTGAGTGTCAAGTCACTCTACCTTATGAGTGGAGTCTCTTGCTTCACCCTGGCCATGCTGTGTTGGATGAGCTACTTCTTCCAGAGGCTGGTGGGCTTCATGTATGTGAATGAGTCAGGTACTGTGCTTCGAGTGGCCCACCTGTCCTTCTTTGGGTGGCGACAAGATACGTATTGTGCTGTGTCAGACATAATACCCCTGTCAGAATCCAAGGAACATGCCCAGGATCTGTTGGTACGAATCCAGCAATATGGTGGCAAGAAGACCTTCTATGTCACCCTGCGCTATGGCCGAATCCTGGACAGAGAACGTTTCTCACAAGTGTTTGGAAACCCAACCACACTTAAGAAAAACAACTAAGCTGGGCATTGGTGGCGCATGCCTTTAATCCCAGCACTCGGGAGGCAGAGGCAGGTGGATCTCTGTGAGTTCGAGACCAGCTTAGTCTCCAGATCGAGTGCCAGGATAGTCTCCAAAGCTACACAGAGAAACCCTGTCTCGAAAAACCAAAAAACAAACAAACAAACAAACAAACAAACAAAAAAAACCAACTAGGCCTTTGGTAGCCCTGGTTACACTTGGATTTTAGACAGGAAGGCCAAAAACATTAATGAGGCAGAAGCTAATAACCAGGGCCTGGGGCTGAAGCTCAATTGGTAGACTGCTTGTCTAGCATGCAGGAAGGGAAACCCTGGGTTGAATCCCTAGAACTGCATATAACCAGGCATGGTTGTGCGTGTTTGTACTTCTCCATGTAGATGGAGGCAGGTGGAGAAGTTCAAAGTTGTGTTGGGGCAAAAAAGAAGATATTAACCAACTTTAGGAAAAAGCCCTTAGTGGAACATTGTACTGAATAGGACATTCCAACAGATAGTGGCTAGAAGTTTTTATGAAGAGGCACTTCTTGGAGGAATGCTATGCCAAGGTCACAGAGGCAGCCCACTGCTATGAAACCAGAGGCAGGAGGGTTGGCAGAGGAACACAGACTGTGGAATTACAGGCTTACAGCATCGATAAAGGCTTCTAGCCTGCCCTGCACCCATGTGCTCACCAGCTAGATGGCCAGCACTGAAGCCCACTCCAACTGAGGTAGGGACAGCACCCGGCTGAGAATGCTGACCACCAGGAGATCCAGGGCCGCTTAAACTGGGGAGCTTTGCAGTGTCATCAGGACAGAGGGACACCAAGCAACTTATCAGCTGAAGGAGACTGTGTATGCTGCTTTTCATAATGGGTAACACACATGCTTATTAGGTGAATTGTGCCTGTATAAAGAGGAAAGCAGAAAGCAGCCATCATTTTTGTAATTTGACCACCGAAGAAGCGTTGTTAGTAATTCCCCCCTCCCCCCCACCAAGACAGGGTGTCTCTGTGTAGTCCTGGCTGTCCTTGAACTTGCTCTGTAGACCAGGCTGGCCTTGTACGACATACTACCTGGCCAGTAGTTTCCTTTCTTGAAGAATTGTTCTTTTAAAATCACATGTATTTATTTGTGTGTGCCCACTGTGCATATGTGGAGGTTGGAGGACAACTTTTCAGAGTCCTTTTCCTTGGGAATTAAGTTCGGGTTGTCAAGCTTGGCAGCAAGCACCTTTAGCCACAGAACCATCTTGCTGTTCCTCTAGTCATTCTTCATTGCTTTAAAACGGAGCATGAACAAAGATAACAATAAACATACCAAAGTGTGTGTATGAGGAGCAGGGATAGACATAACAGAAGGCCTCAAGCCACACAAAGAACTACAGGCAACTCAAGACTTCTGAAAGCAGGAGAAATAGCCCTCCTCAGGGAAGAACACATCAGTTAGTTACCAATAAGAAATGGTCGGCCCTGAAGACACACACATGCAAGTACAGACTGAGCAGGTTGTATTTAGAAGCATATGCATATGGGAGAGAGGAAAGGGATGAGGAAAATGATGTAATTGTGTTGTAATCTCAAAAAAATAAAACTTAAAAATGTGCATATCAAATTGTGATGATTTTTGTTTGTTTGTTTTTGGAGACAGGGTTTCATTGTGTAGCTTTGGAATTTTCTCTGTAGACCAGGCTGGCCTGGAACTCAGAGATCCTCTTGCCTCTGCCTCCCGAGTGCTAGGATTAAAGGCGTGTGCCACCACCACTGGGCCTTTTTTTTTTTTTTTTTTAAATTGTAACAATTTTTATTGGTCAGGGGCATAAAGCTCATCCTCAGTATTGTACAGCCATCGCTGTTGTCTAATTCTGATGCTTCCATTGGAGAGGTAGAGGCAGGCTTGGGGCCAGCCTGGTCTACAGAGCAAGCTCCAGGACAGCCAGAGCTGTTACACAGAGAAACCCTGTTGCAAAATATAAACAAAATTAATGCTTGACTGTCCCAAATAGGATCTCAGTACTTGGGCCATAGTCATCACCTGCCTTCATCCTCTCTGTCTTCACTTGTTTTTAGGCACTGACTAATCTGTCTCTGAATTTGTAATTCTGACATCTTGTGTGTGTCCTCCTGTGTTTGGCAGCTTTTACTTGGTGTAATGTTTTCACAGTGTTGAGTCTATTAGAGCTAATTGCTTACACATGTCAGTGAAAATGAGTTTATTCAGGACTTGACTCTCAGATGAGAGGGGGGATTTTACCAACTCAGTAGGTCAGTGGGTGTTTGGGTTGTCTTCACCCCTGGACTATTGTGAAAAACACTGATGTAAACAATATGCAAGCACCTGTTGGTTTTCCTGCTGTGGCTTCTTTTGGGAAAATACTGGGAAGGAAGTAAAGACATGACACAGGAAAACATGCTCCCAGTGACCTAACTTCCAGTATGTCCCACCTACTGTTTTGTGGTTTTTTTCTTATCTAAAGTACTTTTTAAAAAATATTAATGTATTTATGTTTATGGGTGTTTTTTTTTTTCTTTGCTACTTGAGAGTCTAAACACCAGAAGAAAGCATCCGATCACAGTATAGACAGTTGTAAGCCATCTTGTGTGTGCTGAGAATTGAACTCAGACCTGGGGAAGAGCAGTCAGTGCTCTTAACTGCTCAGCTATCTCCAGCACCTAGTTTTTTAAGTATATTTTTTAGACTGGATTTTTGTTCTGTAGCTTGCTGTATGTAGACCAGGCTGGCCTCAAATTCTCGGAGATCCTCTTGCCTTTGCCTCCTGAGTGTTGGGATTAAAAAAAGGTGTGTACCACCATGCCAGACTTGTTTAGATTTGTCTTTATTTTTGAAACAGGATCTCACTATGTAGACCAAGCTGGCCTCCCGACATCCACTTGTTTCTGCCAAGTGCATACAACACCATATTAGGCCTGTTTTTGTTTCAGGGTTCTTTTTTTGTTTGTTTGCTTTTTTTTTTTTTTTTTGAGACATTTACACAGTAATTCTAGGATTTGGGAAGCCTGCAGGGGCAGGAGGATCACTGCAAATTTGAGGTCTTGTCTGCATAGTACCAGGGCTACATAGAATCTGTCTTTAAAAAAAAAAAAAACAAAACAAAAACAAAAACCCTCCAGCCCCGCTCACAACTGGGGCACTGGCATTGTCTTCTCAAGCAGTGTCCCATCCACCTAGATGTGAGCAAGCTGCTGTCATAGCTTTAAGTTCTGGCCACCATGCTTTCCACTGTGATGGCTGTTCCAGGGAACTTAGTGGACTCACTGAGCCATGGGAACACAGCCATGTGTGCAGGATGTCAGAAAGACAGTAGGAGCCTCGATATTTTGGAGCTACTTTACCAACCAGAGAACCTCTGACTTTAGAGTCCAAAATGTGAATAATAAATGTGGGGTGTGGGGGGGGGCAAGAGGAATTAGAGGATACAGTTGCTCACCATCAACCCTGACAGCCTGAGCTTGAATTGGGGGACCTGTATAGTAAAGAGAGACCTGACTGTTTTGAGTTGTCCTCTGACAACCATGCACACACCTTTCTCCCTGCATAATAAACAAAAACTGAAAAGGCTATGATCTTGTTTTGTTTGAGACAGAGTCTTCTGTATTTTGTAGCCCAGGATAGCCTCAAATTTGCTGTGTAGCCGGGAATTGAATTTGATTCTCTTGGGATGCTATAGGTATGGCCTGCTTGCACCCAGAGAGCCTCAAGCCAGTTTAGAAGTGCCTGCTTAAGGGGGTAGGGATGTAGCTCTGTTAGCAGAATATGTCCAGCACCACATAAATTGATTATATTGGCAGATATCTGTAATCCCAGCCCTTGGAAGGTAGAGAGAGGTAGGAGGATTAGGACTCCTTGGCTTTTTAATGAGTTTGTGTTCAGTCTGGTCTAAATTAGACTGTATTTCAAAACAACAAACAAACCATTAAGAAGTATCTTTCCTTGACTTTGCTGTTGGCTCAGTTTTATGACGGTAATACTTTCAAAACCACCTATCCCCTTTCCTGTTAACTACTATTGCCAGGTTCCCCAGGTGACTGCAGTGGGGAGTCAGCTCATGTAACTACAAGGCTGCTAAGTCCCTTCTGTGGTCTACTCACAAGGTACCAGCAGAGGGCATACAAGGAGCAAGTGTATTACTCCCCCTTTACACCCCAGCTAAAATCAGAGCTCTCTCCACTAATAACAGGATGTGGGTTAGGGGTATGTAACCCCAGCAGGGCAGTAGTTTGAGTTGTTTAGAAAACAAAATAAGAACCAGGCTGGTGTTGTAGGCCTTTAATGCCAGGAGGCAGAGGCAGATGGGTTGCTCTTGAATTTGAGACCAAAATAGTCTAATGAGTTCCAGGCCACAGGAGGAAAAGGCTTTTGGATTTAGACCGTGACTGTATTGGCGATTTCTCCCTTTGAAAAGCAATTCCAAAATATAATTGTTTTAGTTCTTTTGGGGAGTGTGTGTGTGTGTGTGTGTGTGTGTGTGTGTGTGTGTGTGTGTGTGTGTGTGTGTGTTGCTGCCAGGGATCCAATCCAGGGCCTTGTACTCTACTACTTAGCCAGATCCCTAACCCCTTTGGGTTATATTAAAAATAAGAGCCAGACATGCTAAAATCCTAAAATCCTAACACCAGGAAAGCTCAGGCAGGAGGAGTGTTGTAAGTGAAAGGCCATCCTGGGCTATAGAATGAGACTCATCCTGCCTTGGGAAGCAGTATGATCAGGAGTTCAAGGCTATCCTCAGCTACAAAGTTCTAGGCCAACCTGGGCTACCAGAGACCCTGTCTCAAAATATGAACCAAAAATGAGCCACCCCACCCTACCACACCAAATGCCAAAGACTGGGTGACTCAACGTTTGTTTCTTAAGCATTCTGGAGTTGGAAAGCCCAAGAAGAAAGCTTTTTGTCAATGATTGGGCTCTGGGTCTAGTGTTTCCAGGTTCCTGACATCTTATCCAAAGAATTGAACAAGGGTTCACACAGAAATGCAAAACTAGCAAGGTCACTCACAGAGATCCTCCTGCCTAGGATGTCTTTATATAGATTTATATGTATGGGCAATGAAAGAGGAAGCCAGGCGGTGGTGTCCCATACCTTTAATACCAGTGCTCAGGAGGCAGAAGCAGGCTGGATACACAGAGAAACTCTGTTTTGAAAAACAACAACTACAACAACAAAAAAAAGGGGGGGGGGGAGAGCCAGGTGTGGCACATACCTGTAACCCAAATATTAAAGAGGCTGCAAAGTCAAGGCCAGCCTGATTTACACAGCAGGGCTTGTCTTGAAAGGATGAAGGAAGGAGAGAGAAACAGAGGGAGGGGTTGTATTGGCAGTTCCTTTGTCAACTTGACACAAACCATGTTATTTGGAAGAGGAAACTCCTCAACTGAGAAAGCTGGATGTGAGTCTGAAGAGCAAGCCAGTATACAGAGTTTGTCTGTGGCCTCTGCTTCAGCTCCTGACTCCAGGTTCCTGCCTTGACTTCCCTCAATGATAGACTGTGATTGGGACATGTAAGCCAAATAAACACTGTCCTCAAGTTACTTTTGATCATGGTATTTATCACAGCAATAGAATCAAACTGACAATTGTACATGCCTTAGAGTGGGATCAGGCTTCGATGGAGGCAGGCATTTAAGTGTCTTTTTGTTTTGTTTTGTTTTGTTTTGTTTTGTTTTGTTTTGTTTTTTGGCAACAGGGTTTCTCTATGTAGACCTGGCTGTCCTGGAACTCACTCTGTAGACCAGGCTGGCCTCACACTCACGAGATCTGCCTGCCTTCCCCCTCCTGGGTGCTGGGATTAAAAGCATGTGCCACCACTGCCCACTTTAAGAGTCTTAACAATAGCTGTATGAGATGTTGGTTGCACCTGAGCTTCTGTCAACTAACGAAAGATTTAAAAGATTAAGTAAAGGGCTGTGGAGAGGGCTCTGCAGGTAAAGGTGCTTGATGCCAAGTCTGATGGCCAGAATTCAATCCCGGAGGCCTGGATAATAGAATTGATTCCCACGAGTTGTCCTCTGACCTCCACGCACTAAATGTGACACACAAACACTCACACCCATAGACACACACTGAATTAAATATGCAAAATTGTAGTTAAAAGATTAAGTAAAAATGTTTCGGTGAGGTTGAGTATGGTAGTGCACTCTGTAATCTTGGCACTCCTGGGACCAAGGCAGGAAGACTTCATTTGAGGATAGCCTGGGCTACATGAGACCCTGCCTCAAAGTAAGATAAAATGTAGGCAGACTTTTCTGTCCTGCCATCTGTTTCCCAAATAACCACACAAAGACTTAATTAGTATTAATTATAAATGTTCGACCAATAGCTGAGGCTTGTTTTTAGCTAGCTCTTATAACTTAAATTAACCCATATTTCTATCTATGTTCTACCATGTGGCTTGATACCTTATCTCAGTATGGCATGTCTATCTCCTGCTACCTCTGCATCTTGATCCTGACTCCTGAGACTCTACCCTTCTTCCCAGCATTCTCTCTGCCCTGAAAATCCTGCCTAGTTGCTGGCTGTTTAGCTTTTTTACTAATCACAGTGACATATGGTCACACGGTGTAAAAGAATATTCCACAATAAAA